GGATGAATTTCTTAGATGGTGCCAAAACAAACTCAGGACCTGTATTTCACACCACAGGAGAACTCTTCCGAAATGGAAACAAGGATTATACACTTAATCTTCATCAGTCTGAATTAAGGAACATTTACAAAGAACGATTAAGAGGACCACACACGGTAATTGGTGATCATTCTAATGTCAAAGCTAAATCTTCCTCTACAAAGAGTCCTATCAAAATACAATTTCGAGAAAAACAACACATTTCACTGGACAAAGGACGGCCTAGAAGTATAACAATAGTTACCAAAGGAACAGAATCTACAACTCAGTCGCCAGTTGATGTTGACGTCACAGAATCACCGGCCATTCAAACGGTTCGACAGGAAACTCTTCAGGAGTCAGAACCAATAGTACATAATAGGCAGAATGCAACCGATCAAGTTGGTAAATATACTTTTTGTTTATTTTATGGTATTGCTTAAGCCAACCACTGTTTTAAATGTTTTACAATTGTTTAAGTATGAAGGGGTGAAATTGTTCAGATGTAAATTATTTTACGACAACAAGTACGCACGCTGTTAATTTTAACACCAGCTAACGTTTTATTAATTATTCACTCATATATAAGAACTACATCAAACATTAAAAATCGTTATCATAACAAATTTAGAATTTATATACATTTCATCATTTGATCAGAAGAGAAATGATCTAATGAGAAGTGGATTGTGCTAGCAGTTGCTTAATAAAAATACTGTCAAGACCATGGTCCATAACGTAAAATGCAAAGGTTGTAACCACGTCTTCATTATGACAAAAAAAATCTACTTCTTAAAACATTTTTCTTATTCATCAATTTGAAATAAAGGCAAGTTTTGTGATCTTAATATCCTCTTACACCATACTTGTTTTATTTTTAAAATGTATTGAAATGTAGAAAAGATTGGTAGGATTTTTAAATTTTAAATATGAGAATTTTATCTGGGTTTTGTTTCATTCCAGTTAAAGTATGACATACCTTCTATTGTTTATTGGTTGATATATTTAATTGTTGGCAATATATACCACATTCGGGAAACAACCAATCAGAAATTTTCTTGATTTTTTACTATAACGTTCAATTTATGTGTAAAACTAAGGAAGGCATCGACCTGTGTTATAACATGTATGCATGCGTTTCGTTACTCTTTACCAAATCTTCTTTACAGATAATTTGTCATCCAATCGAAGGTTCGGGATACCAATAACATCGGAAGGCAGAAGTTATGTTAGGGGCCTTATGTTGTCAGTACTTCGACGAGCAGAAAGGTTTAACGATGGAAGCGAAAGGAGACCTGTCCGATTTTGAGAACCGCTTTGAAGAAGATCCATTTTTCATGTTTTTTGCTCTCTCTGCAGCAGGAAGATTTATTTATTTCCATTGTTATGAATCTTTTTGTTGATAAGGACTAAATTCATTTTGTGGATTATGGTATCTGCAAAAAATGAATTTACATTTAATTGTGGAAGAAACAATACCAAGCAACTGTTGTATCTTTGTACAATCTAATAAAAAAATATATCTCCACATCACTCCCGTTTACTGATATGTCGCGCAATGTGAAGATATAATTTTAATTAGATTGATTTTTGTATAGAAGTCCCAAAACATAGTCCCAAAAATTGTGTGTAATTTGAAATAGCATATATAGAGGATGTTTAATGCTTTCCTATTTAATATCATATCCAGTACGTTATGGAAGAATACCAATAATTGTCAAAAATGAGAAAGATGTGTAACACAATATTTGTATATACTACAATACGAGTGAAATAAATGAATACTTTTTTTAATGGATAAACCATTAAATGTTTATGCTTTTTATCGCGGTCGTGTAATTTTGTTGAAATTATTTTATTCTTTATTTACTAATAATAAGCTATTGTTTCTGTTATATATCTTATGGACCTGTTTAAATTACTCTGGTTTTGAATCGAAATGACCATCATATTCATATTATTTTGTTTTTTTGATCAAGCGAATATAACGTTGTTCCTGAAACGATTTATCATATTTTATTCTACGAACTCTTAAATCTTCTGATGTACATGTTAATACTTAATATACAGTATATATGTGTGTTATGTGTGTTGCGGTTGTCTCCCTTTACTTGTTGTTATAAAATACTTTACATGCATATCCATGCTGGAACTTTGACTTTTTGTGTGTGCTGTAATTTTGGGAGTATTTTAATGACAATTGTCAAAAGAATGCTGAATGTTCAACATCTACCCTTAAAGATGAAGACATCCAACTTGCACGTTATTTAGACCAAGTTAATGGCCATGTTAATTTATTTCTTTAAGCATTACAGCTCATCAGTTGTGCATATATACAGTGCAACATAAAGTAAACAAGTAAACAACAACACACATACACACCACTTCCGCACCTACTCCTAGAAGTGTAGAGAGATATCTTGCACTGCTAAAAATAATGTAATTAATAATAGGATAATATTTGATGATAAGGACATATTACTGTATTACTGACAAACACTAGATACAATTGACTTAATTCAGTACATTTTGTCATCTTCTACTAGCGATTCTTACATATTTGGCCAAATGAGTTATTTCTTATGTATTTTCAGTGGATAACAACTTAATGAATTTAGACATACTTGCATGTCTGGTGTTTTTCTTTGTTGGATTTAATCTCACAAAACCTTCGACACGTGTCCGTGTATATTGCAGTTGCGCATCAAGTACTTTTCTATTTCACAATGTTCACCTTTTGTTTACAGGCACATGGAAATTAAGGAATGTCAATTAAAAAGTTAACTATTATATTTGCTCGTGTGTTTGCCATTATAACTATACACACGCACAGACATTTTGTTATCAAATTAGTTCTCTATCGAAATGAAAATGTTCACCAAAAGATTTGTTGAAATATCAAACTGAATATTAAAATACCTTATGCCAAATCTTTCTCTTATTACTGATATACCTCAAAAGAGTTTATGTTTGATGACTTGACTGTCTAAATTTTTGAAGGCCAAGAGAAGATATTTTGTAAAGATTGGTAAACTTTTAAAAAAGAGCTAAATATTTATAAATATATTTTTGGTCTTTGATATCTTAGGTAGCAGTCTACAGTAGGAATGGCCCAACAATAAAAACAAGGCACATGTCGAGGAAATGTAAACACAGCGGATTTACCCTACACAACACATATATACATGTATATATATTTGTAAACTGCATTACATTTACAATACATATAAAGAACTGACAAGTGTATAGCCATTTAACAAAATATCACCCATGACCACAACCCTCTACTGTATACTACTACCTTATCCTGTTATGTATAAAGACAGAAATGCCTGAAGATAATATATATGTCTGTTGTTTCTGAAATTCCAAAATGTCAATCTAGTTCAAAAACTCTATACTAATTTTAGAAAAGGAAATACCTGAATCTGTTTAATTACGTCGCGTGGTTATATTGAGAGCTACACTGAATATATGTCAATACGTTCTCTTACCTACGAAGTTTCAAAAACATCTTCATCAATACGATAATTTCTGTTAATTGTATGACGTGGATAATTCTGAAACCAAACTGATGTACACAGTTTTGTTTGCAGTTTCAATGATTAAGAAAATGTCAAAGACTTGATTGGAACCTAACGAGTCAGCAAGCGGAAATAGACATCTCATACAGACACACAGAATGATAGAGAGACACTTCATTTTTATAGAGATGACTTTACTTATAAGTTACATTCTAGTTTCCAGGTACATAAATAGTATGAATAACCACTGCATCTTTAGTACTATTTCCATGAAAATATATGTATATTCGGCCAGATATTCTCCCTTTTATTATTCAGAAGAAAAAATAAATCTCCAAGCACATATATATTAACTGCTCTGAATCCGTTCACTATAGTAGATATTATATTTGATTACATGTTTACTATCCTTACAGCATTATACATCGTTTAGTGATGGCTTACATATAATTTTAGAGATTCCAATTATTTGATGACTTTTCTAAACGGAATGAATAGTTCTCAAATACATTAATAAGTAATGAATTCAACCAAATTCAAAAGAATTATGAAGATTCGTACATTTGCCTCCTCGCCAACAGGACACCACATATAAATCATACAAAGATATCGATAACCTTTCAAATGTTTGCTTTATCATTGCATGTTGTGAATCATTTCCGCAAGAATTCGTTACGTATTCTTTAAATATGTGTGACATTATGAAACCCGGAAACAGGATTATTTGAAAAATCACTTTTAAAAAAAAAATGTCATGTCTTTTCTATCAAATGTCACAAAAACTAAAGAAATATAATCCAAATAAAATTATTCTAAACACCTAAATAAAAGCGGTATATCGGAGAACAATATATCTTTCATATTGCCGTTATCATATATTACATTTAACTTTGAAATAGTTTTCATATTAAATGTATTACTCTACGTCTGAACAAACCGTAGCCTATTGTGTCGGAACCACTTAAGAAGCATTAGGAAACGATATTGTTCAAATACTTAGTATGTATGCAATCGTTGTAGAAAAATGATAATAAGAATAAAAGATTTGACAATACCTTTTCGTAAATTAAAATATTTTTTAATTGGCTAAATCACCTCCCTGTCGATTTTAACTAATTTATAATCATATCCTGGAATGTTTTCGACAAACAAGATATAAAAATATGCGTATCAAAGATATCAAATAATTCAAAAAACATAATTGGTTATTATGATACAACGTTGTTTTTCGCTATATCAAAAAACTGTAATAAATATACATTTGTACTGTTTTGTGGTTGGATGAAAAGTAATTAATTCTATTGTAATATGAATAAATATCAATGTCGTATGCCGTGACTCACTTAATACGTATGGGGATATATAGGGCGCTATTGTCACTCAGCTTCGAATTGATGACGTCTGGTGGTAAGATGGATCACCTGTCTCGATACTTACCTGCTGTGGTGTGACGCCAAAGGTAAGATTTCATCTAGTATTTCCCTATTGTCGTATATATAGGTTCACCTCATCTCCTACTGAAGACAATTTCTCCAGACAAGCCCTCTTGGACCACAATCAGGTAAGACGTATCCTTAGTATGATATCCGGGATGTATTTTCTCTTTTTTCTTCATATGTATATATATATATATTGGATAATTTTTTTCAGCTTGATTGGTTTTACGTGTATGTCATATTAGAGTTAAATATGTTTTTTGATATTTTAGTTATTATCAAAATTAAATTAAAAAACAATGTCGAAACGTGCATAATATGTGTCTACACAATGACAAAATAAAATGTATATGGACGTATTTTAGCGCTAAATCATAATGACCGATAACTATAATATCACTTTATGCTTATATTATTTTAACTGTTGCTTTAATTAATGACGCATTCTGAGTTATTTATGACGGTGCGGAGGTATGAATGCATTAATATAAGCAACTTTACATCAGGGTCAATAAGTAGATTCGTACAAAACAAGTTTTCGTTTTAAAACCAATGAAGCTCGCCTCAATAGTTTGTATTTTATTATAGATCAAAGGAAAAACAATTGCTTGCTAAGATTCTGCACTTTTAATGTGTATGAGACACTAAATGATAACAACGTTTTGTATGTTTACTAGATACATAACATCCTATGATTGATTTCCAACTGTGTAGTTCTAACATCTATTGTGACTGAAGACTGTTTAACTGTATATTGAACTATGCTGATCTTAATTATTTTCCTTGTCGGGACATATGATTAAAAATGTACTCTTTCGTAGTACCTGTACCTTACCTATCATTGGCAACAACGATATCAAATATGTTTAAGTTTCTTTTACTAAAACTTAGTAATACAAATGTTAGCGAATAACCATGTCAGTTTGTACATTTTGTGATAATGTTTATTGCTAAAATAATTACTAGAAATATGAAGTTATGAAGTACTATAAATAAGCCGATACAGAAATCAAACTAAAGAAAACATTTTCAATGTACCATATTGTAAGTTCACCTGTTCAGGACTCATCACTGGTACTTAAGGTTAAATGATTGAAAATACATGTCAAAAATAGTTCCCAAATATTTGATACGTTTAAAAAATAAACAAAGAGTGCCTAAAACCCCTTCATACGGTAACGTATTAATATCTTCTGTCTACAAATCATAATTTATTCTGAAACTTGTATATTGTGCAACGTGCGAGAACACATTCCACCTACTAGTTCACGGCAAAAGTCGGGGACTGATTGTCCGCCAGTAGAGTCAACCATCTAGTGACCTTAAATAATCACATGCTATAGGAAGTAAGGAGGAATTTACCTAAACATTTAATAAGTCGATGTATGAAGCCGAACTAAACGACCCTTGCCACTTTTTACCTTATATCTCTAACAATAGGACCACGTGGAACATTATTAGAGCTTATCAGGTTTTCTGAAGTCTACGCCATTAGCTGACACACGATATCAACAAAAAATAATTGTTTTATTTTACATTTCTTAACTGAAATATAGCTTGTCCAAATTACACATTTTTAACAATAAGAAACAATGTCTAACAAATAAGAAACTTGCTTGCAGGTGGCGTAGCTTGCAGGTGGCGACATCTTTGGATGTTCGCCAAAGAAAAGATAACTCTAAATGTCTGCTATGGCTGCAATTGTTTATGTTAATGTAAAATACTTTAATTTCAGACTACTTCGGATACCAGTATGCTGTGGATCAGTGTCCTTGTCGTGGTTATCAGTACTGCTGTGGCTCAGGACTGTAAGTGTGTCATTCTTGATGATCTACTTCTCCGAGACAAGCATATTTTTCCAAAATATTTCCAAATTAATAAAATGTGTAATGAAAATAAACAAGAGAACAATAAGTTGATGTCACATTTGAAAGCATTTTCCTGATAAAACTTGGTCCTCACAAGCAGTAGCAATCACTTTAACTTCGTGATCTTCGGGGTCCTCTCCCTCTCTTTAAATATATTTGTTTGTTTTCCCCTCAGTTCCTGTTGTGTTTTGTTTTGTTCTGGTGTCTCCTCAGTTCCTGTTGTGTTTTGTTTTGTTCTGGTGTCTCCTCAGTTCCTGTTGTGTTTTGTTTTGTTCTGGTGTCTCCTCTGTTCCTGTTGTCTTTTGTTTTGTTTTGTTATCAGTTCCTGTTGTGTTTTGTTTTGTTATCTCCCGAGTGCCTGTCATCTTTTGTTTTGTGTTGTGGTCACCTCATTTCCTGTTGTCTTTTGTTTTGTTTTGATGTCTTCGCAGTTCTTATAACATTTCTTTTGTTTTGGTGTCCTCTGAGTCCCACTTGTCATTCCTTATTTTGGTGTCTTCTTTGTATCGGTTAACTGTCTTTTTGTTTTGATATCTATTCAGTTCCAGTTGTCTTTCCTTTTGTTTCGGTATCTCTACAGTTCCTTTTGTTATTATCTTTGTTTTGGCGTCTCTTTAGTCCCGGTTGTCATTCCTCAGTTTAGGTGTCTCCTCAGTTACGGTTGCCTCTCCTAGTTTTGTCGTCTACTCAGTTGCAATTGTCTTTCCTTAGTTTTGATGTCTACTCAGTTGCGGTTGTTATTCTCTTTGTTTGGTTTCTCTCAGTAGTTTTGGTGTCTCCTCAGTTCACTTGTCTTTCCGTAGCTTTGGTGTTTCCTCAGTTCAAGTTGTTTTGTTCCGTGTTTCGGTGTCTCCTCAGAGTCTATACTCATTTCTTAGTTTTTGGTGTCTCCTCACTTCTGGTTGCCTTTCCTTGTTTTGGTGTTTCCTCAGTTCCAGTTGTCTTTCCTTAGTTTTGGTGTCTCCTCAGTTACAGTTGTCTTTCCTTGTTTTGGTGTCTCCTCAGTTCCAGTTGTCTTTCCGTGTTTTACTTTGGTATCTCCTTAACTCCTGTTGTCTTTCCATTTGGTTAAGTGTCTCCTTTGTTTCTATAGTCATTCCTTTTGTTTTAGTTTCTCTTCAGTTCAAGCTGTTGTCTTTTCACATTGACGTTTAGTTCGAATATGATATAACTAACCTGGTGTCTCCTCCGTTTTGTGCAGCTTTATAATTTATGTTCTATTTTGAAGTTTCCTGGAATCTTATCTTTGTGTTTTCATGATTATTTTGGTTTGTTTATAGTTTAGTTGCTCTTTATTCCATCATGTAAATCCTTCTTTTTTGCAGTTAACCCAAATCGTAATTATGGTGCAGGAACGAGTCCTTCCAGAGATCGTTTATATGGATCACAGAGGAGAGTGTTGGACACGACCTTTCAGGGAACGTCCGTGCCAAATGGACATAGCACCCACGTGCGTGATCGGCAATACCATGACCAGGTCGATACTGGTTACGGCCAATCACGGTCAAAGAAAGTCCTTCATAAGCCAGTGGTAGACACAGGGTATATCGGCCAAAAACAAGTGCATCGTGAATATGTGAAACCTGCACTGAATGGTCATTTGGATAGTGGATATGTCAAGCCAAAGATTGCTAGTCCATTGGATACGGGATATGTACAGCCTAAACTTGTTGATCCATTAGACCCAGCCTCTTTCCTTCTCAAAGTAACCAGTCCGCTAGGCAAAGAGTATGTTAAACCCAAGATACCAGGTGCCGGGGACTTAGGATATGTTGATCCCAGTCTACTCGGTGGTCTTATACCGCATGATCCATTTGATACAGGATATATAAAGCCTAAAATCGCTGGTCCGTTGGATCCTGGGTATGTAAAGCCTAAAATCGCTGGTCCATTGGATCATGGGTATGTAAAGCCTAAACTTGTTGATCCTTTGGATCTTGGGTATGTAAAGCCTAAACTTGTTGATCCTTTGGACTCCGCATATGTTCTTCCCAAAGTAACCAGTCCGCTAGGTAAAGATTATGTTGAACCAAAGATATTAGGTCCCGGAGACGTAGGGTATGTCGATCCCAGAGCATTAAGCGGTCCAATGGCAGGAGAACTGATTGATCCAATGGTAGGACATGGACAGGTACATCCAACGCCCCCTGTCGGACCGTTTTATGGTGAACGAGCCAATATACCAGGCGTCAGTACCAGTGACTTTGTAGCTGTGGAAACGGAAAACATCGATCCTCTTGTGAGGAGAAATGATTTGATAGACCCTTCGTGGAATGGTTCACCAAGAAACTCTTTAGATCAAAGTTTCCCTGAACAAAGAAGGTTGCCATCCACAATTCATTCGGAAAGATTAACACGCCAAAGAAACATGGAAGACGCCGCACTTACGGCGAGGAGGAATGATTTCAGAGATCCTTCGTGGAATGGTTCACCAAGAAACCATTTAGATCAAGTTTTCCCTGAACAAAATAGGTTGCCATCCACAATTCATTCGGAAAGATTAACACGCCAAAGAAACATGGAAGACGCCGCACTTACGGCGAGGAGAAATGATTTCAGAGACCCTTCGTGGAATGGTTCACCAAGAACCCCTTTAGATCAAGGTTTCCCTGAACAAAATAGGTTACCATCCACAATTCAATCGGAAAGATCAACACGTCAAAGAAATAATGTGCCGTTTGATCAAGGTTTTTCTCAGAGCCGACAACGGATGCTACCACTGTCATCAAAACCAATACCACCACCATTGACAAAAAAGACTGTCACGACGAAAAATATAAGGAAAACTGGTATGTAAGCCATTTTACCCTTTAAATCATTTTTAGTTGGTGCGGCTTTCACACATTAGAATAAATGCATGAACAAAACATATTTTCACTGCTATGTATATAGGACTACTGCATTTACAAATCTCACGGGTTGTGCTCTTTATTTACATTTTTTCTCTGCACTGAAGATTTGTATATTGAAAGCAGAACAGAACAGTATTTAAAAATGACCAGAACATGAAAAACAATTGATTTGATCTTTCAAAGATACATGTCACCTTGTCAAACAAAGAGTTCAAATTATCGGTGCTGTTCTTTATATGCTGCTCGTGAATATGCTTGTTTTAAAGATGGTCCGCCATATTGCTTAATTTTCCAATCAACATTAGCCTCGTTTTCAATCGTATACATTTGATCTTTACGTTGATGTAAGATGACATGGACATTTTCACCAGGTCAAAAAAAAACCTCATTATTTTAATGTCATTTTGAAATTTGTTTCTAAGTAAAGGGAAACCTATTTTCCGTCCGGATCAATGTACAATGTTTTGCTAATTTGAATATCTCTTCATTTTCACAGCTGAAGAAAAGCGAAGCTATTACAAGAGTTTACGACAGTTCCGAGGCGTAAGTACACGCTATTACTTTTCTACCTTATTTTTAGTTTAAATATATATCTAACCTTTCAGAACACCTCTTCATATTCAAGTTAGTTTTGCTGTATATCTCCTTTGGGAACTTATCATCAATGCTAGCCATAATGTTTAGTCCAGATTGTGGTCTCGTGTAATCGTACGCTGGGTTTTATCAGACTGGTTTATTAATAGAACTTTCTTTTCCTTTTCTTTCCAGTGAACCAACTGCCCCCAATCCGCAACATGTGCAATACTATAATCCTGACTGTGATAAGAAATCGTCTTTATGAACAGTCCATGATAACATATTCTTTCCTGGGACACGATCCGCCGTGATTATAACCTCATCGTTGATGTGTGGAATTTGACAAAGTGATGTGATATTGAGTGAATTGATAACAGTTATGTAAATCTTCATTATGTACGTTATAAATTATGGATTTTTTTTGTTAAGTAAGTGCATAGTTGTGTGCATGTGTGTGTGCGTGTGTGCGTGTGTGCGTGTGTGCGTGTGTGAGTGTTTGCAAACATGCCTGTATGCGTGCGAGCGTGCACGTGTGTGTTCGTCTGTTCATTGGCAATATACATATTTACATATTAGTCACAAAAAATATTACTTTATGGGCTGATTATGCTATGGAAAATAATTTCACTTTTATTTTATATATCAACAATAATTAAATTAACTTAAATTAAACATCAAATCATTCCTGAGACCAGGGAACATGTTGTTCAATCATTACATATATATTACAAAATTGGAATTCAAAAAAGAAACGTAAGTAGACCTAAGGTCTTTTGCTGTTATACAGCTCATTTCATTGGTCCTGAAAAGCTGTGAATAGATGAATACAAGCAAATAAGTTTAAGTAGCAACAATGCAGACAATGAATTGGTCAAAATTTCGAAGCAATCTGCTCCTTACCGAGACATGCACATGACACAAAATAAAACCTTTGGTCTAGTTTTTGTTTACTTGCCAAGCATATATGGGGCGAGCCTTTTCGTTATTCCGTTGTGCAAAGACATATCTTCATATTATGTTTTTATCACTCTTCCATCTTAGATTAAAACCCTGCGTATAGAGTTTTATTTTCAAGTTTTATCTATCAACGTTCTTTGATACACAATATAAGAGTGGGGTTTCATTATTTATAGCCTGCGACTCCAAGCTAACCGAGGAGGAAAGTTTTAACATTAGCATGTAACTATTTTTCTCGATTTCATATTTTGTGATATGAAATTTTCTCCTGTTGGTGTCTTGGTAAAGGGGCAGTTTTATTTGAAAATGGATCGATTCCACTGTCCGCCCTGTTTGGATTACTTAACTGCATATATACAATGTATCAATTTAATTTCTTCGAGCGAAATGCGAATATTGGACTTATGTCATTGGGTTATATTATTCTTAAATAGGGTAAAGTCGTTATCGAATTAAGAAAAATGAAAGAATAATTTCCATTATTGTAAGGTTGTGTTACACCTACAAATCACTGACAAAATATCATTGATGGCTTATTTGCATAATGTGTATTTTTTATACTATTTTCAAATAAAATGTCAAAACAATATGGGTTTCCGCCTTTTTGTTACATATGATTTCTATTGCAAGCTTACTTTATTTCTCGACATTTTATCATGAAAGTTTCGATCATATTATGCTTAGATAACCACAGTTGCGACATCAAATACTTTTACGTTCCGATCGTTTTTGAAATACATACATTATTTGATGATATTAATTAGATATTGCCTTTCTTAAACGTAAAAAATCTGTTTGCTTGTGTTATCCCTGGAACTGTTCCTTGTAGAGACTACCCAGTTCAGTCCATGATAACCTAATAATTAACTATTATTGATTTATAACTTTTTCTGATAAAAAGACGTATCTTATCACTAACAAAGATACTGTTATTCATTTAACTTTTGCAGACTCTTATTCTGATGGTTGTGCTGAAGCAACTTATTTGGGAAGATTTAAGCCCGAGAGAGCAGCTATAAGTGCCAAATTATATATTTTGTTTGTTCATGCACTTACATATTAGTCAATTTACAATGGTCAACCCTCAACACTTGTAGAAAAACAACAACAAAATACTGCAACAAGTAGCGATAAAGAAAAAGAGTCTGTTTCTCTCTTATCAACACACATATCTATAGAAACATTCATCATTATTTATGCGTACTATAACGTAATGGAGTGGATTTTAAAGCCATCATACACAAAAACAACTTCTGCTGAATTCAAAGCACACTCAACGTGATGTGCACACCTTTATGTTTATCAATTTAACTTATATTGTCATCCATGTGTTGTAAAGCGCTTTAGAGTAATTTTACAAATTATAAAGGGCGCTATACAAATTGTATATTAGTATTGTATAATATAACAACGACACACATAAACTATGCATAAACAACAAAGTCATGGCAAGCCATTATTGTTTATTTCAGTGTCGTATATTACAATAACACAGTATAAAAACATAGCAGAGATCTTTTATAAAATATTGTTAAAATAGTCATTATATATCGCATTTTTATAAAATGACCAGATAGCAAGTGACAACAAAATAACTAACCTTTCATGTTTTTCATTTCTTTCATCAAATAAGCGAGAGTTTCTGAGCAATCACGTTTTTTTCATGTTTTATTTCGTATTAATATTCATTATATAAGGAAGGTCATGAAAAAATATTACCTTATCTAGAAAGAGTTAGTCTCGGCAACTATTTTAATTAACATATAACTGATATCACTTGAATATCTGACTTTAATGTAATAAGCTGTTCGAAAAGTATACCACAATATAAAAGAAAACGAGGAAACTATATTCATGAGGCACGCGTTGATCAATCTGCGTAAATAGCTAGCATCTATTTGTAAATACTTCCCTTGTTTTGGAAGGTGAGCAGGGAAGATGAAAGGCAGCAAAACGGAGGTATCAAAGATTTAATGCAAAATTGCAATTGTGCGTTTTATACCCTGTTTCATAGACTTGGTTATAGTGTTTTGTCTCATTGTGAGTCTAACGGATCAGAAATTAGTTGAATCTGCGTTGATACTTTTAGATCTATTTAACCATCCAGGAATGGGATTATGACAAGAAACTAATTGCACCTGGATATGACTACAATGTTTTCAGTTATAACTGAAGTTAAGATTTGATAGTATATACATCAGTAATGCTTTTGCAGAAATTAAACATTTTATAATAATTAGTGATATCACATGATAATATTTGTCAGATTGTCAACAGAGATGCGGCCATCAGATATTGATTCACTACTGTAAAGATACATTAACCTCTCTGAGGGGATATACATTCATGGCGCTATTTAATTTGTTCATGTATTCGTTATACGCAAACTTTGAATAAAAGAGCTGTAAGCATGTGTATGCTTAGTTTATGTTTAGATGGTATCTGGTTGAAATGTCTTGTATGCAAAAATAGCTACACCAAGAAAGTTCAAATTTCATATGTATTAACTACTTCCTCGTCTCAGGTATTTTGTTTGGCATAATTTTAAGTTTTGATTTAAATCGTGTACGTTGCGTAAATTAACTACAAAATGTATAACATATGGAATTTATTGTAAATGAGTGTTAAACGTTCAAATGAGTTTCAGTATAAATGTCAGACTATAAAAAAAAGTGAAAGAAAGGTTAGGAAAATAAGTAGTATTGATTGCTTGCTTAAAAATGATAAACGATTGTAAAAGAAAATGAAATCTGCAATCATAATTACTGTTTTGGCGTTTCATCAGCTCCTCAGATATTGTCTTTTTGAGTTCTAATGTCGTGTTGACGATGCGACATAGTTCATTTTCCAACTTACGACAATGTAATTGTCATGCTAACTAGACCGCATCTCCTTTGTTATGCTAATTGAGATTGTGGTTGATTGACGTGTCCTGGTGTTGCAACGGAGGGATTTGCACACGGTGAGGTCACATGACAAAGTATGATGCATTGTGGTCTTGATGCATGGCAAATTTGTTTCCTCGTGCCCAGATGAGTGATTGTTCTCCCGTCCAGTGAGAAAATAGTCGGTTTCTGAAAAAAATCGAACACATGTTATATAAGTAATGCTTTTTTGAAACTGCAGGGATCAGGTACATAACCAAAAATACAAAATACAAAATAAGAGAAACAAGGGATTTTTTTATGCATTTCCTTTAACTATTAAGTAGTATTTTTACGGTAATTACTAATAGGTATAATGATCTTCTCTCCTTTAAATGGATTCTCTCATAGGATATTCCATTTTTTTTTAATTTAACATTGATGACAAAATTATATAAAAATCAGCATTACATAAAAATGAAAACTTACAAACCTCAATGCAAATATAAAATCGGAATTTAGCGTAGATGCTATAAAACCAATAAAATAACAGATAAGACATCAACATGATATGAAAAAAATAAGATCTTATCATAAAAGTCTTCAAAGAGCTGCGAAATTTCCCGATCAATGATTTAAGAAATATTTACAGTTTCTAAGATCACTGGGGACCGAGAAACTGTCCTTAGGACGTACCTCCATGTGGGTTGTGGAGGTATGTATGTGTGTTGGTGCGAAGTTTTTTGGTGAAATTGCCTCCATGTTATAGTGCAGAAGTAATTCCGACTTTATAGTGCTATCTCACCGAAATACCATGTCGAAGACACCAAGCACAGCATTCTGCCCGGTCACATGATACTTACAACGAGTAACCCAGTCGTTGCCATTACCCTAAATGTAGAACGTTAAGCAGGGAATAGCAACTACCATTTTTAAGGACTCTGATATGTCCCTGCCTGGCGACAGAACCCATTGCTTTCCTCACCTGGGTGAACGTTGAACAAGTGAAAGTGAGGTATTGCTTAGCAAGGCGCTAGGTAGTTAGAAGTAGAGAGAAATGTGAAGATTCCAAATATTGCAATGGGTGCAGCAGATTTATTTTGGTCGTGTTTGTGTCCCGAAATAGAGGGCACAAAATCAAATCCCTAAATTCTGCAGAGGGTTTTCCACGTTAGTCGCCTCTTTTTCATCTCTTGTTGATTAAGGTATGCGGGTTTTATCAATATAATAAAAATTAACTTAACATCGTTCTTATTTTCCCTAACAATATTCTATACATATACTGCATTTACCTATAAACCCCACCTCTTATAACAACGAAAGCAAAAAAATAAAAAAATAAAATAAATAAAGTTGCTCTCTACTTAAAATCAATAAATGCAATTTCTCTAAAGCTGGACTATATATCTCTAGATAAAAAGTGAAATTTTGCCCTTCATATGACATCACAATGTAAACACGGATATATATTGACCAATGAAACTCAAGGTTGGTCATATATTTTTATATAGTGTCATTTGCCCGAAGGTCATTTTCCAGCAGCTGTACTTTGTGTTCTAATACTCATATATGCCAATTAATTACACGTAGATAAATGATAACATCACAGAGGGTTGCCCCGAGATACACAACATCTTACGGTGACTTATCGGGTCGACACAAGTAGCGTCGAACACCAGGAATCGGCGTCTACATGCTGGCAAACGCTCTTATCATTCAGGCCCAGCAGGAGTTAGTGTATGCCACGATTATTATATTTAACATGATACTTTCATTACTTTACTTTATATTAAACTTTTATCACATGACTATTGTGTTATTCAATAAATATACTATATATTTGAATATGATATCATGAAATATGTCGTATTGTGATGCCATCGAATAATAATGAAATGACGTAAGATTATGTTATAACGTCACAATGACAACGATAGATATAGAGCCAAGATGTGGAATTTAATCTTTCAAGAATGACATGGAAAATTGTGACTTTTGCAGTTTTCGGAAAAAGATTTTGATCTATAAGGATTCAATTTCGTTTATATATCATATCAGATTAATGAAACGAGTTAACGATTTTTTTTCCTTTTATCGAGCCTCTGGCGAGCTGAAATGATTTTATTTAAGATTCGTTTCATTTATTCAATATGAGACAGAATTCTAGTGTAAGATCCACTCAATTTTCTTTTATATAATCAATTTATTCACACGTTACGACGTCACAAGGAACATAACCATTATACATTAATAGCAAATATAAACCAGCGCCCAAAATCACTGTTCGAATATCAGATATACAAAAAGGTACAAAAATAGACATTTTCTATTTATTGTTATATTGAATAAATGTTAATATAGATGACTCTCACACTGACAGCTTACAGAGAAATTCAAATTAAAATACAAATTTTAAACATTCCTACCTTTCCTGTCTAATAATTGTACTGGGATTTGTATGGCAATGAAGGAATACGTGTGTCTATATATGTTAGTTGTATGTCATGTAAAAATTTGAAAAGGAAAAAAAAAAGAAAAAATGCATTTTGAAAGGAACCGTTATTGTAAGAAAATTGTGAACATCTAGGCCCTGGTGGTGATTCCCTGTGGGTTGTCTTATCTGTTCAACGATCATCTCTTTCTCTCTATCTTGATCTTTTCTTTTTTCTTCTATTATTTACTTATGTTTGGTGTCTGAAAGAAATATATGATCTTACATAATTTTCCATTTCATATGAGATCTATAAAACGAGTCTAAAAATTTAACAATAGGCGGGCAAAAATGAAAAATTCGTGACGAATTTCAAAAATTTCATATGAAATGAAACGAGTGTAAGATCCCTTTTATCACATAATCAACATTTGTGGCATTTATTTGAGTAAAACGACAATTTTCAAGCAACCTTGAAATGTAAAAAGCCGCCATTTTGACTCTAGTGCGTAAGTCTGTGACGTCATGTACTTGTCCCAGGCGTGACGTCACAATTGAAACTTACAACCAATCACAGGGCTGATAGGTCATATTACATGGGTTAATACGCAAAACATATGACATGGGTATATTCACCGGATAACACAGTACATTTAAACAATAACTGGTTGCCTGGATGTAATTATTGTTGATATAATTACAAGTGGCCTCTGGCAAATCCCATAAAGCCCGCTAGGGTTTTATGGTAGATTTGCCAGAGGCCACTTGTAATTATTTCAACAATAATTACATCCAGACAACCAGGTATTTTTTATATTTACATATTTTTCTTTTTTAAGACATATTCCTACAAAAACCATTTGCCCTGCCTCAAAATACATTTCAGGCGACCATTTTATTTGTTTACATATTCCTACACCTGAAACAGGCAGTTGTAATTATAGTCGAGCATTTGTAATTATAGCCTATATAATTACACTTGCCCTCTAACACTGTTGTAATGGGACGGCGCGGGGGCAAATGTAAATATTATGTGATAAATGGGAAATATCATACATGCAAATTTATTGCCTTTCTGATGAAGAGTGAACGATTGTGAATTCCTGGGCCCATTTAGTAATTTCCTTCGACTTCTTCCGCCATTTTACCGGTTATATCTCTAAGAGTTTTATTTATCTATTAGCTTATTTTACATTTATTTTTAACCATTTTTTTTTCATTTTTTCTTTTGTTTTATATTTGCAGCCTGAAAATTTAGAAAATAAAAATCTTGCGAATTCACTGACTTTGATAGAGAGTTAGTTACCATTTCCAATTACAGTGTTGCGCGATAGTTATCCATTAAACGTGAACTTGTGAATGTAATGAAAGAGCATATGAAAAACAACAGAATATCCAACTGGTTAAAAACGGTATGTAACGGGAAAGACGGGATATGTTACAGTACTTAACAGTCATACAGACGTATACAAACATTCTGTCAAATATCAGTGCCAATTGCCACATGTAATGAATTGTAAGATGTGTTTATTGCATTTTTAAGATTTAAAGCAATCTTTGCGTTAATGGTTACAAGTTCCTGATGTAGTGTTACTGATTAATCTTTCATTAATCATGACTATTTATGAACAGCATCTTGACAACTTTGCCCCAGTTTAGGATGTTTTATTCAACATAATGAACTATCTGATTATGTATACCGTATATATCTATATAAATTTCAATCTTTCACTTTTATTTTCTATTTTTTTATAAAAATAATTAAGTCACTTTTCGTGCTAATTTTTGTTCCTTCCGTTGAACACACTTTTGCATTTTTGGTATTTTATATAAAGAATTCAAACCTGTAAGCAGATAACATTATCTCAATTTGATTTCAACCTTTCATCAATCACTAATAATCCATAATTCTTTTATTTAGCCGTTTTAGGTAATCGTGTTGTGGCGTTACGTTTTAATCCATATTCAATTTATTTTATTTAATATTTATCCAGTAAAGCGTAATCATGTTTAGGAGTTATGTTTAACCATTGATTTGTAACTTAGTTTAGCGGTAATATTTAGCCAGCAGTGTTTAGAAATCGTGTGTTGTTTGGAAGTTACATTTAGTCAGGAAGTTGTTCCTTTGTTCGCTAGTAATGTTTTGCCAGTTTAAAGTAAGCGTGTTTTTTGGGTCATATTTAATATGTAACCAGTAATTTGTAATAATTTATGTGTTATGTATGGACAGTTATATTATATATGGAACTGATTTAAAAGTTACTCAAACTCATTTCTATATTACAGTCGTTGCTATTGCTATAGGATGTTTGATTTTTATAAGACCTAAGAATATCGCAATACGAGCTTTTCAATGGCTAATGGTGATGCAAAGATTCCCTTTCTAAGAAATGAAAGTGTAAAATTTCATATGGCTCCACTGCGTCTTTACCTGGTTTAACTTGATAAGTTATACCTCCGATATCATAGTTGGGATTAAAATAAAAGATGGAGTAAAGAATACAGGTGACGTTTTCAAACCATATGGCAAAGGTCAAGGACAGAACGCACCAACGCACTTGTGCTATTGTAAGTTTATGAAATCGGAGACAGATACGTTTATAAGTGTACATGAAATTCATTAAATGACATTTCCACAGGTTGAAAATGTCTTACTGATTTCAGACGATTAAGAAAAATGTAACTTACTAGTGTAAGTTCATGAAATCGGAGACAGATACGTTTATAAGTGTACATAAAACTCATTAAATACCATTTCCACAGGTTGAAAATGTCTTATTGATGTCAGATGATTAAGAAAAATATTAAATTAGGTCGACTTCAAAGATGAAGTTTTTCAAGTTTGCGTAAAAACACATCAAAAGTATGGCGGTCATACGAGACCAATATTTGCAGTATTCCCAATTAAAAAATATATTTGACTAAAATCTTAATCAGAGACATGACTGCGATACTTTCTGCTGATTGTGTAAACCATAAAAAGTATAAGATATATCTGACGATTGCTTTGCCTGTTCATGCGCCCAGTCGTGCATCCTTGCGTTCGTTCGCTTAATTTCACAGCGGTCAATTCTGAATCATTCACAGGTTTTTGCTGAATTTGATTAAAGTATGTATCATGACTAGATAGTGTGTCACACCTTAGTTTCAGGTTCAAGAACATACTGCAGTTCACAATATATAATGACATGAGGCTATAACACTATCTCATTTTCTTGTTGTTGTTATTAATGCGTGATTATAGTTTTGATATGTGATTTTCCTTTTGCAAAACTGGTATATGTTCTTACTTTCCCGTGAGAATTGCGCTGCGTTTTGTATTCGATGTTCAATGATATTTTTGCCGTCGGCCTCTATAGTAGAATATTTTTTACTGTGGCATTTGTCACTTGGTTAATAAACATAACAATCATATTTCATAGATAATACCCAAGTTTAATCAACACAGTTATGGTTTGTTTTTAATGTTGTGTATCCTTGAGATCCTTGAAGTCAATGAAGCAAATCACATTCGTAACAAAAACAAACAAATAGTTTTGTTTCTGTTCAAGACGATCATACGGCAACACAGATGTAAGTTAGTAGCGTAAGATAGTTAACCTTATCAATTCAGATTTAAATTATAAAAACAAATGATTAGATGGCCGATTTCATTACCAATTACCTACATAATGGGAAGTCTCAAGCTAAGTTATACATACAACATTTGGTTGAAATCGACCCATTTTAAGTTTGATAATTACATGTAATTCAATTAAAATTATCTTATAGGTAGCCTAATTGATTATGCTTAAATATGCATGCAGCATATTCCTGATTACACCTATTGTGAGACAGGTCGTGATGTAACGTTTTTGTTGAATCCTGATAATTAAGGCAGCTATTAAATGGAAAGGTAAGCGTGACAGACTGACGAACTATTACACCCGAAATATGCCCCCAATATTCTTCCGAAACGAAAGACGAATAAAATATTCACACAATATAACTTGTTTATATAAACCCTCAAGCTGTTTTCCGTATGATGCTTTGATGTAAATTAATGTGTTCAATCTAATAAAACAATACACCATAATAATTAACCTTTTTTTTTTGTTGTTTTATTTATTGACTTGAGTTTTTTTTTTCTTTTTTTTTCTGTATTATTTTTGGAAATGTTAATCTGTAAAAAAATAATGTTGAAGATATTTACTATTATAACGAATGAGCCTTTTCTGTTCAGTAAAAATAAAAGCTGTAAAATGCATATGTAACGTTATGTCGTTAAGTAACGATATAACGGAATTTTGTTGCAAATACATTAAATAATAAATGGATTATGATAAAATAATATAACACCTTTAAGAAATCGGGGTTATAATTCAATAAATTGTTATATATATATATATATATATTTATATATAATATCAATTTCAAGGCATGCGACATTGGAAAGCCAGGCACCTTTTGATCTGTGACCTATTAAATAAATCATGTTTCAAGCTGCCAAGTTTTTTATGTGGGTTAAAATCTCCTTGGTCCATCTTTTTCAACCAATCCTTCATTTCAGGCTGACAATGATGAAGTAAGGAATGACACACAATTTAATTCCTCGCATTGAATGTTAAATACAAAATAAAATCAAACGAAAGCAGCTTGTAAATCGATCTTCAATAACAAATACATACCAATGACGTGCAAAAAAACCAACAACTGTCGAAACTCTGAAAAATAGAATCAATGAAATTTGAAAAACAACAACATAGCCATATATTAAACAATAAACATTTGTAAATGTAAAACGTTAAGGATCATATGAATTGATCAAGATGTATTCATACTAAAACCAACCCATCACGTGTGACGTAGAACAGATTGTTTACTTGACAGGTAATTCGTTCTCAGGTAGTACACCAAATCATTGTTGTGTGCACTCTTGCGTGACACTAGACGTCCACACAGAGCTCAAGTGTTGTCGCTTTATCATATGACGTCATCCCGCATAGCAATGCGGTATACGTTTATTTTTTTGTTGCCTACTTGACTATGTGTGGTTGCATTACGTCAAATGCTAACGCTCAAAATAGACTTCCCGGTACAGTGGTATATAATACGCGGCCTCGTAAGGTTTCTTTAACAGAACTTAAAGCGATACTGAACAGGTAGGTGATAAAACAATGAGACCTTTTTATCTATACATGTACATAACAGTGTTTTTTACTTAACACATCTCATAAGATTCATTTATGTTGCTTTATATTTCATTATCAAACTTTACATCTGTAAGTTCATGATGTTGACACTTTTTAAATTTACCTACTGTAACAAAGTGCATGTAGCTTTACCGAAAAACAATGTGTTTGAAATAATTGTTACAATCACAATAATTCCTTTTCCTATTTTTCAGAAAAAAATGAAGAAACTACTACTTATTTCGTTAATAATAGGTACTGCACTTTCTCAACTGGACTACGAGAGAAATCGAATAGGTAATTGATTTTCTTCCACTTTGTTTGTGTTTAAATGTAAATGTTATGTGATATAGTTTAAACTCATAATATTAATTGATTAATTTATAACATTTTCATTTTTTTTTTACCTTATATCTTATACAGTATGTACTTATATAGTTATTATATTATAACATATACATATTTCTGTAAATATGTTATGACAAAAGTGCTAATAACTTGCATTTTAGTTTGTTTATTTATTCTCATTGACTGATCACAAGACCTTATTTTATTTATTTCGATAGCAAAATGCTATCCTTTTAATATTTTTAATCAAACGACATCGAGTCTTGAAGAAATAATCAGCAATTTGATAACATATAATATGCAAATGAAATTGTCTGAAATACCATGTTTGTATGGCGACCACCTGCATATACAAACTCACATACTATATCTACAATAATAAAAATAATCTGTTCCTAAATATTACTCCATTATTAAAATTTAGTGTTAAAACTGTTTCTGATTTTTGTTTCCCATTTGAAACGTCCATATAAAAAGGACTTTATCAATCAAAGTTGACAAAATTGTCTATGCTAATTTGAATGGCTTAATAGGCGTCTTTAACTCTAAATTTGTTCAAAAGATGTCATCAAACAAGTTTAAATGTCTTAACTCGTAATGAGATAAAAGCATGGCTCAGATGGTCTATGTATTATATAAACACCGTGTTTAGATAAAGAATAAAATTTAAAGCAGAAATTATTTCTGATTATTAAATAGATAGTCGATATATTAATTGCTATTTGGTATTAATGAAGCTCAGTATCTACTGCTGAATTTCTTCTCAAACAGGATAAATAGATTATTTTTTTATGAAGAAGAAAACATTGCCAGGTGAAATGAATGGTGAGCGAGCCATGGCATTGTATTGAAACTACATCGATGAAATGATGGCATTTTACTCAGCACGATCGATTTAAATGTGACTTAACATATTATTTACAGCCCTTTTGCGGAGACGTCAACAACTTGCAAATCTTTCGGAGCGAGAATTGATCAATGGTGGATTTCTTCCATATGGCTCTTCTCGTGTATCAAAAGGTTTCCGCGGATCGGACCCTTCATTTGACGAATTAACCGGCAGAAGACGTCGTTTCCAGTCAAACGTAGTATTTCAGAATGTTGACAAACCTGTTTCAGGGCGTCGAAGCTATCTTCAATCACTGAGATCCTCTCTTCGTAGAAATGGTGGACGAACGGGCAGAGCACGAGGATCGTTTTGGAAAACAGATCGTCCAGTTAATGAACAAAATGTGAGGAGAACGTATATGCCAGCCATAAAGAGGCCACGATTCACACCCAATATAAAAGATATACTTCCAAGAAGAATGCCTAGTTATTCACCAACAGCACGTGGAATTGACTCAAACTGGACTCCCAGATTACCATCAACTGTTTCTGGGGCTGGAAATTTTCTTCCTTCAAATATGAATGATTTTATCGAGAGGACGAATCCAGTGAATGACAGAAGTTATGTTTCACCAAAGAAACCTTCACTCATCGTCGAACCTATCCCTCTGCCTTCTTTAAGAGATCCAGAACATATTACTGCAAAAGAGCAAATACCATCTCAAACACACACACCAGATTACGTTGCACCAATGGATCCAGTACTTCCTGTCCAACACAAAACAGACCCAAATTATGTTGTCGATGCAGCGCTCAATGACCCGTTCGGTCCTCTAGATATGTCCACTTTCCCATTAGATATCAATGATCCAAGTTATGTTGATCCCATGCTCTCTCCTGATCCCTTTGGTCCTTTTAATTCTCTGTTGAATCCAAAGTTACCAACAAATGTCAAGGATCCAAATTATTCTGCCGACAAAGTACTGAAAGATCCATTAGGTCCTTTAGACTCCCCCAGTTTGCTATTAGATATCAATGACCCAGGTTATGTCGATCCTGCACAAACGGATCCCTTGAGTCCTTTAACTAATGGTAAGGATCCAAATTATGTTGCCAACCAAGAACTGAAAGATCCATTAGGTCCTTTAGACTCCCCCAGTTTGCTATTAGATATCAATGACCCAGGTTATGTCGATCCTGCACAAACGGATCCCTTGAGTCCTTTAACTAATGGTAAGGATCCAAATTATGTTGCCAACCAAGAACTGAAAGATCCATTAGGTCCTTTAGACTCCCCCAGTTTGCTATTAGATATCAATGACCCAGGTTATGTCGATCCTGCACAAACGGATCCCTTGAGTCCTTTAACTAATGGTAAGGATCCAAATTATGTTGCCAACCAAGAACTGAAAGAACCTTTAGGTCCTTTAGACTCCCCCAGATTGCCATTAGATATCAATGAACCAGGTTATGTAGATCCTGGATTATCTGGTAGCATGGGTCCTATAGGCGATCCACGTTTTCCCGACACCTTACCGACCGATACCCTCTTCGAACCTTTGTTGCCTAAAGGAGGTTTAATGAGTGATCCTTTAGCATCATTTAAAAATGGTAATCCTAACTACGTCCCTTCTAATGATCCTCAAGCGCTGTTCAACGATAATCAAGCCAATGCATTTCCTGACGCCTTTGGTCTTTTGGATTTGCCACAAGACCCCACCAGTTCCCGTGGTCCATTTGCACAACTTCCACCAGACAATGTATCGCCAACAGACGGAAGTTTACCCTCGGATATTCCTTCCCTACCAGGTAAACATATTATTCTTATTTCATGGTACGCTTCGTATAGAGCAATAAGATATTTTGTAACTCATTTCAAAGATAAAAAGGACGCAAACATGTTTTATTTCATTTCATTCTTTATAGTTCGCATTAATTGTAGCGAAAGTAATGCTCCCGCAAAAATTAATGTTTTTTACATTGTCATTAGTAATATATATTCAGATGTAAAGCAATTTAACTTATACATGAATCACAATCCAGGCAGCCGTTTCACTGCTTTGGTTTTCTTTCTTCAAATTTATTTGCACTAACGAATAACGAACATTTACATTCCTGTTCCAAAATATCTCGGAGTTGCATACTGCGCGTCTTGTGAATATATTTGAACGGAGCTGTGATGCATTCGAACACAAATGTTGAAAAAATATTATTGTTATCTATTCAATCTGACCAATTTACTTAAGATTTGTCGTTATACAAGGTTTGAAAATATATCAGCAGGTCTGCATATTATCTGTTGCAATGAAAAACAATATGATCCGAAAATTCATCCAGGGGATGTTCTTTCCTCTTAAATTATTGGCACATATTATGTGTATAAACTACTTGCGTATTTGAAACCAGTACCACTTCCAAGAAATAAGGTTTTACAGCAGCGCTACAGATTTGTATATTGTAAAGTGAAATGGTTTGCAATTTACGTAATCATTATTTTTTTAATACGTTTAATGTCTGAAACTTTATTATGGCAATTTTCACACGTGTTGTAGGACTTCTTGACCCTGTGAACACAGACTTCGGAAGCAATGGAGGATCGACCGATCTTTTAATGAATCCATCAAATTATCAACCAGAACCCCCTCTTCCGCATTCTCCACTATTTGACTCAAATCTCCCACCTGTTCCCAACATGAATGGTTTTAATTTGGATCAGTCTATTCCCGAAATGAATGGTTCTCCTTTGGATCCTTTTATTCCCGACATGAATGGTTCTCCTTGGGATCCTCCTTTTCCCGACATGAATGGTTCTCCTTGGGATCCTCCTTTTCCCGACATGGATGGATCTCCTGGGGATCCTCCTATTCCCGACATGAATGGTTCTCCTTTGGATACTCCCGACATGAATGGTTCTCCTGTGGATCCATCTATTCCGAATCAGTTTATGACAAGGAGTGAAATTAACGAAGCAGCTAGGCGGGAGTATGCTAAATCTCCAGGCGCTTTCGATCCCAAATGGAATAATCCAAACGTAAGGAACTCTAATCTTTATGTCAAGGGCAAGCCAGATAATCAAAAAGATGCTCGTCACGCCAGAGGAAAGACACAGTCTGGCTCCACAGCAGTGGACAAAGATATCGAAAATAAGACAGCAAAGAGTAAATGGAGTGAAGGTAAATTCAGTCTACTTGCTATACGATAACTTTCTGTTAAATTGATCAATTAAGACAGTTGTTGTTACTGTAGTTTTGAAAAATCCTAATAAATCTCAATATTATAGAATCAAGAACTTCTAAATTTCTTAAGATTTTTTAAAATTTGTTTTATCTTTTTCAGGATACATTTCAAAGCCTGATGCTCTTCGGTCATATGAAGGCGTAAGTATTTTGTATTTTAATAAAAACCCAAGCTAAGTGTAGAAATGGATTCACTATCACTTATTTTCATGTAATTAGAACTTCAATAGTCAGTGAAGTGTAGTTTGTACTACCAAGAATACACAAACGAACTAATCAGAATTACCATGTATCCATGAAACTTCGATAATTCATAACATAAAAAACTAGTTTAAATGTTAAATATTTCGTCGGTGAAAATCTTGACTTCGGAAATAAATATTTGAACAAACGAGTTATTGTTAGCTTTAACTATCTATGGGACTTCCAACTCTCGCAAATAAAATCGATTGGACAACAACACTAGTAAAAATAAAAATTCAAAGAAAGCTTGTAATTTGCAGCATTTTGAAACATGTTAGCAACCTTAGTATAAGATTTATCATTTATTGAAGCTGACGCAAATCGTAACTGTATATAATATATGTATATCTATCTTTTTTCTCTCTCCAGTAAATGGACAACTCTTTGGATGCAGTGAAGATCGGGAGAGAGTGAGAGCGACAGAACTCATGTTCCAGGAGGCGGGAACGATGCAATATTTCTACAAATCCATTTAAAAGTTCATTTATGTAAATTTGTACATTTCCACTGTGATTTTTTTTATGAATATTTCTATATACTTAAATTAATAAAAAAAACACTATAACAATTGATTTGTTTGGTATGGAAATATATAGTAAATCGTTTTGAAGAAGTTAAACTGTTGGGTGTATGTGTTTAACAATTACACTATATTCTGTCTATCAGGCGAAGACAATTGAGAGAGATAGGAAGTGATGTAATTTAAAATCTCTTAAAAAGATAGACTCATGAGGAGATTTTTTTTTCGAAAATGACTTCGAAATGATGACTGAATATTTATAACAGAACTACGTCACCTTTAAAGGGATGAAACGATATCCCGAATTATTAGCAAAACTTCTTCCCATTTATTTCACGTTGTTAGTTGCTCAAGCCATTTGATGCAACCTAACGGCCATCGATAAGTTAATAAACAATTGGTGGTGTTTTTTTTATCAAAACGACAACAAGATACTGTAAAAGTAATAAATTAAGTAGTTTGTTAAAGACATTGACAGTTTGCCGTATTCATTTCGACTTGATACCCTTTTAAACATATGTTACAACATCTATTAATTTGCATAAATAACACCAGCATTAATTCTAGTACATTTCCGTAAGATAGGTACACAACTCATTTGCATACGAATCTAAGTAAGTACTTGCGTGCTTGTATATAACAGGCAGACAGGATTTCTTTCCTTTTTCTAATCCACAAATAATTAAACGAACAGACAGCGAGGTCGCTTTAATGATCGCATACTATATCGTATGTATTCATCATAATTTTAGACATAGTTTAAGGGAATTCACTCCAAGAGAAGAAAGAAAACCCAGTTTTTTTAATTTCCATACAGATAATATTTTCTAAAATGGGGGCTTCATTAGTTCGTATATCAAGTGATTATTTCAAACAACAGTGTGATGGACAGTGCTGTTAGACTAGCTGCCCTCGATGTTGGCCATAGTTGGAAGATATTCTAGTTCGGTTTATATAAAAGACTAGTGTAAGAATGTATTATCTTTTTTGGCCAAAATACATATTTTTTATGTTATAAATTGTTTGATAGACATCTTTCATAAACTTTTAAAATTACACTTGTACATGTATAAACGAACCCTAGATACTGTCCCTTAGGCATTTAGCTATGTGATAGTGATTGATTCACTGCTTAATCGGCAACAGTTTGTCATCATTAAATTGATAAAAACAAAACAAACAAAAAACACCCTTCTGACACTGAAATTTTATATATACATTAATTTAAATGCATTACTCCTGTCGAAAGGACAACTAAGTTCAAACGATTTTAACTATATACGCCCTTGTTGATTGATAACTCAATTTAACATAGGTTAAAAAACCGCTCTCAGACGTGATACACATTAAGAAGGATTCATATAAACAAGACTGACAAGTGAATCCTCAGTAAATATTCATCAATCAGGAATGGTGATCAACAACAACAAATAAAAAAAAACTTCAAAGGAGAAACACGTTTGCCCCACCTGTGTAACAAAACATTCAAATCCTACACCTGCAGTTAATTTGAGACGTTCTTTCTGTGTCGGGAAAGTCTGAAATGAAACAGCCGTGTTTGTTTCTCTGTGTTATTATATTGTTTCCCTTTGATGTAAACAAACATAAACAATGTTATCAACATAGATTAATCATTGAACATTTAAGTTAATAACAAACAATTATAGCCTAAGGCTAAAGTCGATGCACAGACTTATTAACCCCGGGACATATATTAACCGGAGACGGAGTTTATAAATCATGTTCTTGCCTGAAAATAAAGGCAGCAATTGTTTAAAAGCATCCAGTTTATAAAAAAAGATGTATTGACTTGGACCACGCATTTCAACGTTTTAAATTATTTTGCGAATGTGTTAGAGCCAATCACAACAAAGAAAGAAATAAGGAAAGAATATATATAAATACGCTTTATTCTAAACTATGTTTTTTTAGTTCTTGCATATATATATGATAATGTCTTTGGTCGTTGACAATTTTATTTACAGTCATTTGAGCCAATGTTATCAGGTCTAACACAAAGTCAAATATAAAAAAAGAGTAAATGATATAGGATGTACACAAAATATGTATGTAGAAAGAAATGCTATTTTGTATATTTATCAATATGTACAATGTGTATTTGTAGATCATCAAATTATCTATAGCAGAACGGCTATATATATTTCAAAACGGCTTTACTAAAAAAACGGAAAAATTAAATCCATATAAAAAAGCAATAGGAATCAAGGAGAAATCCCAACAAAAGGAAACACAAAATGGTCGCCACATCGGTTTGTTGAAGGTTGGTAAGAGCATTCAAAGTTCCGGTGGGATCCGCCATGACGTCAGCTGACAGATCCGGGAAATAATATGTCGCGTACATGTATCAATTATCTAACACCTATTATGAACACATTTAAATATTTGATAACGGGAGAAACAGAAAACTGTTTTATATCATCAGAATAGATTAAAATTTCTCAGATAGCAGACCTTAGGTGAGTATTTTTCTATCAACATTGCACATCTATTCCAAATCCCCCCCCCCCGAGAATATCGAAGTAAAAAACCACTAATTCTTAATAAAATAAAAATAAAATAAACAATAAAAACCATGGAAAGATTAATACGAAAACCATTAAAATTAAAGGAAAAAGAAAAAAAACCGAAAGGGTGAATCTTCTCTCTTCATGGACACTTTCTAAAAAAGACTAGGTCAAATCCAGGTAATATCACTTATTAAAAGAAAAAAAACTGGTAAATGACAAGGAAACCACAAGAAATATCAATGAGAAAATAAAAAATGTTGATATGAGTTCTTATCGCACAAAGGGAAAAAAACTAAGCACATCATGGTGAAGACTTTAAACATTTCCTATAGTCTTAAATTCCATCTGTCAAACCACCCTGTGTTATTAAAAAATCAGCAGTAGACATACTATGACAACAGCCACCGACTCTAACGAAGACAGTGAGCTCAGAGATAATTTAATCCAAGATTTAAGTATCTAATTACCATATTTTAGATATTGATGATTTTCATCGTGACTCTTTTAACCTGTATTGTAGAAAGATGTCTTTTAAATTTAAGCCAGTGATAATTTTTTTTGATAAAGGAATCAACTCCTCGCGTGAGAATAAATAATGATAATTTCCCAAGATACGTTTGGTAATATCGCTCATAGCGTAAACCTGTTTGTGTTCACGGAACCTTTAAGATATCCTGATTCCACCGTGAGGTCAATTCAAGTACAGTGTACTTATATGTCGTACCAATTGCACTAATACCAACCCAGGTGGGTAAAGGGCGACGTGGGTGACAGACGAATATAAAACTGTATTCTCTTTGTCTATTAAAACGTTCATTGATCACCTACTGACTATGGTGATAACGCATGCAATATTTAGCATTTTTGTCGTGACGGAAGTTTTTGGCATTATCATAAATCGAACCTCATCTAAAAAAAACAATTACGCTTCAAGCATGAGAGGTATGTCACTAATTGATGCGTGTAAGACGTTAGTGGCAAGTCAGTGTTGGCCACAAACATCTTAAAATGTGTCATTTATAATTCCCAATTACGAAATATTTTATAGCTGCGTGAATCATATTTTGCATACTGTATCTAAAGGTACAGTCACTGGTATATTTTACGTTCATCTTTGAGTCGATATTAACAAGAATAGGATATTAGAGGATGCCAAACTAAAACAATATAAGTTAACTCACTGAAATTAGAGGTTACACCAGGTGCTTTAGAATGTTGACGGAGTTTTTCTCTCTCCCAAATAGGCTGAGGTAACACACGTCTGAATAACATATCAATATTCATATTTTGTGATAGAGAACATAATTCTTATTTTTCTCGAAACCTTAATATATTATTTACGTATTTGTTAAATCATCCAGAAAATTGGATATTATTCAGTTGTGCCCGCCAACGCTCAAGAGTCTGAGAGACATCGGAACAGTGTGTCGGATCATAGTCCAAGAAGGCAGACAAGCAGAGTCGACTTATTAACATGCAGTCAAAAAATTGAACTTAAAACAAAAAGATGAAAGAGAAAGTGAAGATAACTGCATTCAGGATATTGACACTTCTACACGGTAAGTCCAATGTTTTATTCAAATAAACACGTTTATTTACCTTGTGATTTTGATTTACAGTATTCGTAATAGTCCGTAATACAATAAGTTACAATACAATGCAATATATTTACATTTGCATGGCATTGTCACCATATAGCCTGTTTGAAAGCTGTGACTTTAATTACCATGCAGCACGAGACACGATTCTTAGCGTATTAATACAACACTGACCGGAACTACAATATCCACTGTAACTAAACATGACAGCTGTTGAAATATCGCTGGGCATTGTGAGACTTGATAATGTAATTGTAAAATTATGTAAAAAAGAGAATAAAAAAATACTATTATTAGATCTACAACAAAAACAGGACCAAGGTCTGCAATATCGTACAAAATGCACATCGGTTGAAATCACCAATGCAATGGACACAATTTTAACGCTCATGCAATTTATTAGAAATATCGTCTGTTACACTGCACTGATCAACAGGGATTCGTTACAAATGTCTGAAATACACATATTCTATAGACCTACTGACGCATTTGTTACAGACCTCCTGATATGAGTCACAGCACATAAACACTTCAGACATTTGAAACGAATCCCTGTGCTCCGTCGCAAGATCACTCACTTCAAACGCTATCAGTTTCACGGTAACGCTCATTATGTTGTTTACTTGCAAAGTTGTGTCATTCAAATAGATCATAACTACCATACAAAAACATTGCAATGCTTAAATAATACAATGCTGCCAAACGGGCATTTTTTTTCAAAGACAGGAACTCGTCAAAAGAACACTGGAGAAATAAAATTCTAACTTTTAATTGATTATAAATCAAATTTTCCGCAAGTATTTTTCACTTTTCATTATCAGTATGTTCCCTCGTAGGGTGGGCGTCGATAAGGAGTGGGGATTGGGCTTTCTTTACCACACTATATTATTCAGTGAAAATGTTTTTTCACTTTCACTCAGCGATTCATTCATTCTTTCGTTCATAATTATTTTTCTACTTTTATTCAGGTAATTTTTACATACACAATAATACTGCGCTTGTTTCCTATTTATTTACCTGTAATGATGTGTGTGATATATTTCTATTGTAATCGAATGCAAACATGGTATTGAAATGTATAAGCATTTTGTTTCTAGGTAATCACTATGACACATATATGATAACTGTTAAAGTTATATGCTGCTGATCGTTGATACGGAGATTAAATATGATATAAATCAGTGGAATGTGTATGCTTAAGTTCCATTTCACGATACAAAGCTTCAGCAACAAGTGACTCAGCTGCACGTGAGCCGGGATCGGAACCCAAAACGTCCGGTATACTGTAGAATCATATATTTTCGTGGGGTGACAATTCGTGGTTTTCATATACTAGCCTGTTTCAAGGACATCATATTTTGCTGATTTTTCGTTGGCATTAAATTTCGTGGATTTTTCTTATCCACGAAATTTAATGTCCCACGAACATTTATGTATATTTACAGTATGGTCCATTGTTGTGGGGCGTGGGTTTATAATTTTCATAGTTGTGGTTGTTGTAAAATAAAGTGAGTATTACATATTTAGATATTTATATATGGTAGCAATGTGTTAGTTATACAGCAGAAATGTAGTCATTAAAATATGCTGTAATAATACATTAAAAAATACACTGGTTGTATAGTAGAAATAGATAAGTAGTGTAAGAAAAAATAATCATTTTTGTTAAGTGTAAGAAATGTTCTCTCTTTTTATTGTATCAAAGGCTTTCCTGCTGATTTTTATGACTCTTGCTCAGACCTAGAAATAGTCGAACCTCTAACCACTACACCCCTTCACCTTCTTAACTCACTCACCCCTGAAGTTCCGTAATGGACTATTCCAACCTATGAATTTGAATAGTTAAAATGTGTCGTCAGGGGTAAATTAGTTAAAAACAAACAAAAAATTTTTTCGATGATGCAGTGGTCAACAGCCCGAGACCAGGACATGGTACGAATCATAGAATTGTCTTTCTTCCTCACTTGTGTTTCTTTGTCATTTCATATACGCTAGTGTATGTTTCTCCGAAGGGTTTAACATATGAACTACCTGTCGTAATTGTACCTTGTCAAATACGTTTTGATGATGATTATCTTCAGCATTTCAGAATGTGGACTACAAGTCACATGTCAAAAATAGTTCACTCTTTTTCGAATTCTGTGAAATTCAGCGGTTACTATTTGGTTGTTTGTTATAACTTGGCACATAGTTTGGGTGTTTCATATTTCCTAAACGTCCAGTTCATCATCAGAATGACAGACGTCAATGTATGATAAGGGAATCCTGCTATGGTTGAGTTGAGACTGTTTCAATAGGCAATCGTCCATCACATAAATCCTTTTTTTGTTAGAATAAAAAATACAATGTTTCATGATAACGTTTAGAGGTTCAACGGGCCAATATACTCGGTCTTCACACAATTTGCTAGTGTCATATATATACCTTTAATTTTTTTTATACGGAAATCTGAAATTGTTTTTCACCTCAGATGCCAATATTTAAGTTAGGAATACTATGATTGCATTGATGATAGTTTGGTGGGTTCTTTCGTATTCTTCATGTGTATAGCTATTAATTAATTCGTTAACTTTATCTACTCGGAAATGGTTTTGCTCGGGTTTTTTCCTGTTAATATATTATCTTATTGTGTACGATTCCATCCTTCATTCATGCCAGTGGGGGGAATAAAATTAATTCATTTCTCTCATACGTTTTATTTTAGGCACGTAAATAAAAGATCTGTATCAGTCAAAATTATTCTGCTACGTTTTCAACCATCACCAGAATGACAGATGTCAATGTATGATAAGGGAAACCTGCTGTGGTTGATTGTAGCTATTGATTAAGTCGTTAACTTTATCTATTCGGAAATGGTTTTGCTCGGGTTTTTTCCTGTTAATATATTTTCAATTACCTTATTATTGTGTACGAATCCATCCTTCATTCATGCCAGTAGGGGGAATACAATTAATTGATTTATGTAGCTTCACATTGAAGATATATCTCCCATACCTTATATTTAAGGGACGTAAATATTCATTGAGATTCTTGATGAAGCGGGTAAGCATAGTAAATATTCTAATGGTTCCTTTCTAGCAAAGGGGACTTTGAAGGTGTATGATAGTGCACCAGTGCGTGTTAGATTTGGTATCTGCTTCATTTCTGACTGTCTAGATTGTCTACCATTGGTGGTCTTAAAGTCTGGTCGTTCTACAGTCACTGACAGCTGTAAGGCAGCTTTATTTACGGAGGAATCATTACTGTTGTTTTCTTGTAGAATGAGTCAAAAATTAACAGTTCTGATCAACTTTACACAAAGACAATATTTTTCTTGGAGATTATTTCGGGGTTTTTCTCAATTAATTGCGTTTTAGAAAATCTATGGAGTCGTTGCATGTGATAATGTTAATACGTTATTGCCATTTTAGGTTGTTTTTACTGTTCATCTGACTCTCATTGATGAACATGGGAGCAGCTTTCAGTGATTTGTGTTACGAATTTGAAAATTATGTGTTTTTTTATTGAAATAAATGAAACATCCTATTTTCTTATTGACGGTTATTTGGCGACCATAAAATATAATCAACGACGATAACATCAGTTTATTAGTAAACAGGATGCATCTATCGAGAAACCCAATACTAAGAACATGTCACATGGATAAGCAAGCAAACCGTGCAAGTTACTATCAAGGAAAGGAAAGTTGATAGTGAAATTGTATTCCTCACCTCTGTCATATAAAATGTTCACCACTGTCATATAATATGCTATGGAGGTTACCATTATCAAAGGTAAATGTCAATATTAGAACTTATAAAATTCAGAGTCAGTAATATTTTAAATTTCAGGTAATTCCGCATGGTAAATTAGGGCTAACAGATCTTTTTCCGTTGAGAACAAATAACCACATTTATGTCGGAATACAAAAAGTAAGGTTTTGGAATATATATATATATATATAACTTACAAATTTCCTGCCATCTGATTGTGGAAACCGGCTTTGCTGACCTTGGTATAATGTTGTATCGACCCTGAGGCACCTAGATGTCAATGTGACATATCAGCATGAGGACTTTCCCTAACATATATACTGCTCTGCAGGTTAGGCGTAAGAATTGTATCAGGTGCCCACATTGTATGATCGTAAGAGGCGACTAAATTCGGGATCTTATCTTTTCTCTTCTTTCTAAACAACTTTCCTAACTCCCTAATGTCTCCCTTGACAATGCCTCACTTTTGGCCTTTAGTTAAGCGTTCGCCCCGGTGAGGAAGGCTTTGTCCCCTGGCCGAGATATACCAGAGTGTGTAAAAATGGTAGTTTCTAGGAGTGGGAAGACTGGTTCGCTCGTTGTCAGTATAATGTGACCATCCCAATGATCTCATCACGGGTTCTCATTTCTCCAAACTGGCCAATACAAGGGTAAGTATATACAGCTGTATAGTATCTTCTCAACAAAGGTATGCTATATTATTTTACCATTGCACACTCTATTTCAGTCTTGTTTAAATCCGTTTTTATTCTGTATTATTTTAAGTATCATAACATTTTCTATTTTAGCCTTGTTTCAATCCGTTTTTATTCTGTATTATTTTAAGTATCATAACATTTTCTATTTTAGCCTTGTTTCAATCCGTTTTTATTCTGTATTATTTTAAGTATCATAACATGTTCTATTTCAGGCTTGTTTTAATCCGTTTTTATTCTGTACTATTTTAAGTATCATAACATGTTCTATTTCAGCCTTGTTTTAATCCGTTTTTATTCTGTATTATTTCCAGTCGTCCGATTGTGCACCGGAATTTGCTCAGACTATCTAGTGTCCGGCCCTAATGGGGTTCCGGATCAAGATATTTCAGCATCCTCGGGGAGTCCAGCGTGTGGCCGTCTTTACACAATGAGTAGCTACAATGCGTATTCACAAGGCTGTTTAGTACCGAGTGATGGAGGCTGGTGCAGTGACCATACAGATCCTACACCATACATTCAGGTATATACATACTTATGTACTTGTCCTAGGCGTGACGTCACAATTGAAACAATTGAAACTTACAACCAATCACAGAGCTGATAGGTCATATAACAAGGATTAATACGCAAACAAATATGGCATGGGTATGCCTAGTTATATAACACGTTTAATTTAACAGTGACAACCTTAAAAAAGAGCAAATTTTATTGGTTAGATCCTATACTCGTAATCTGGTTTTAAAGATGTTCAGATAGTCAGGTTTCCTGACTAGAATGCCCTTCATTTGTACAAATGGTGTTGGTAAGTTGCTTATCATTGAAACATGAAAACTTTCATTGCAATCATTGATGCATATACCGTGAGGGTGTTTGTCATTCATTATATTTTCACATTTCTTTGATCAAATTTAATTTATTTAAGTTCAAAGAATAAAGGAAATGTCTTTTTATAGCGATTTACGTGCATTTTTTTCATGACGCTTTTTCTCTTACAATGTTTACACATGAAAGTGCTTTTGAAAAGGGATCATTTCGGTGGATGTAATTTTTTTCTTTCTTTTTTTTTTCTTTGAATTCATTTACAAAATTTAAATAAAAAATCTCTTTTCGTTGGCGGTTAAAAATGCATCTAACAAGAAGATAACAAATGTCTCTAGCAATGAGAACACCTTGAAAGGCGGTATGAGAAGAACGTTTCAGGAAGCTATCTTTTCTTTATTTCAATATCAAGGTGAAGTTTGCTCGACTACACAGGATAATGAGAGTCTCTGTCCAACAACAACACTTGGTTATCAAAGAAATGCTAGAAACATTCAAAGTTACCTACAGTGAGAACGGACATGATTGGTCGTTGGCCAGTTCTAACGGCACTAAGGTATCTGTTGAGAGCACAAAGACCGACCTCATCTAAAAGCACCACTTGTCTAACATTTTTTTGTATTCCATAATGCGCTGTTTTTGTTTTATGCATAAGGAAAGATCGGATTTTTATCTGCTTATACCCAATTCTTGTAAATATTGCGATTTTAATGAGAATTATTCATGTTTATGTCAATATTTCCAGTTATTGGAGAAAATTTAGAAGGAATAATAGAATCCCACACGGGTGTGGTCCATGAACAGGGAGATCTCAACCCGAGGGTAAGAGTTTGGCTGTCTAGCACGAGGCTTTGCCGAGTGTTGGACAGCCAAACTCTTACCTCGGGTTGAGGTCTCCCTTGTCCACGGACCATCTTTTTCTCCCATTCTCGAAATAAACATGCCAGCGTCAATACTTTGTGATCTTCATATGCTTGTATTCCATGACGCGCATGAATACAATTATGTTAATTATATAGGGGTAATGAACCCTGAACATAAAATCAGAAATCGATTTAAAGCACAACGTTCACGATATTTTTATTTAATAATCCAACAGCTGTAATATTTCAGTTTATATATCTTCTAATAAGTACTTAATTCATGAAAATTTGACAGTCAAAACAATGGAACTATTTCAAGGGGTATAAATATGGTTAACATGCGATTTTAAGAACCCTTTATCGCAAGAAGGTCTGTGATCCCTTTTGGTTTAAAGTGGTATTGGCTTCGAATTTTTTTGTTATAGAAAGCGACATCAATATCAATGAACCTTATTTGCAAAAGATTCTCGTAAATGATATACTATTTCCATAATACCATGTCCACGGCAGAGAAATACCGGACTGCGAAGGATGGTGATGATGATGATGATGATGATGGGTTTTTAGAAAATTGCTGTTAGATTATTGTTTTCTAGAAATATTTCGCTTGTATCAGTGTAACATAACAATTTAAGAATACAATATCGGGATATATCAAGTTTCTGTTTCGTTTGAGGGAATAGGCCTGGTCTTGGGAAGTTAGAAATTAGGTAGGCCTACCGTGTATCTCTCAAGCCCTTATTTTTATCTTTGTATTTAAAAAAAGAGATTAATTTACTTAATATACTTTCCGATGAAAGAAACATGTTTGATGTTTGAGCTCGAGAAACGTTTGATTTGTGATAAGAATTATTTTGTCATTCATCACAAGCTAATTTAATGTGTGTGTGGTTGGGTGTTTTTTTTTAGATTTTTGGAGCCCCAACCAATCCTATCGTCGATGAGGAGAAAGTGGTGACCTTTGACCCTCATATCGTTACCAGATACGTTCGCATTGAACCTGTGATTCCGAAAGGCCCAACTACTGTTTGCCTCAGATTTGACGTCATCGGATGCAAATACGGTAAACGGTAGTCCCCGTAGAGTCTCAATATCGCGGTGTGTGATATAATTGTACATGTATTATTATAAAAGTTTGTCGAGTAAGTACAGGCAGAGTCACCTTTGCCTCTTCCTGTTGTGCTGCTTAGAGTGAAATGATCATTTTTTATGTATTCGTAAGCAATACCGTTTGCCAATTTATCATTTAATACCTTGAAAGGAAGACAACATACTTTCAGTGATATCTCATTTAAGAATTGAGATATCTTTACTATATTATTTAACATCTTAATAGCAATTGAGATAGGTCATTATCATTCTCAATCATTCATCATCATCATCATCATCATCATTTATCACATCATTTATCAGCATCAAGTATCCTAATTACATGGAGATATAAGATATCTTTATTCCATTTAAACAGATCGTTAATTCAATGTTTATATATTATGAATTAACGTGAATAACGGATATATGATCAAATATTCATCAAACATTTTATCTAATATTGTATCGATTATATCGACCAAAACTTTCATTATTTTGTCTTTGATTCACGAATAAAACTGTCCGCACGTATAAAAGCGCCACTGATGACAATCAAAATACCATATTGTTTCAGGTCATTAATTTGAGTAAATTGCCAGAATCATGAGAGAGAAAAAAAAACTCAACGTGACGCCAATCCTCATTTTTAGCGATTTCGCTCCGTGTTTTCGAATGCCCGTTGTACGATGTTTTGACTGTACTATCATGTAAATTTTATCTCATCAGCGATGGAGGCAAAAACCCAGTACGAGTACACCCAGCTACCGGAAGTAGCCATCAACAGTAGTGGCATCATCTCCGACTCATCCGCCGAGGATCTTAGAAAGTGTGCCACCCGCTGTCGTCGTGACGTCACCTGTCAATCATTCTCCTATGGTCACGCCAACAAAAGATGTGTGGGGTATAGGTTCAACAAGTGCGTTCCGAGAATAAATGACAACAGCATGGCTATCCTTGCTAACAACGACACCCTCTACTTCTGTGACCCAGGTTAGTTACGTTAAAGTTGTGTTTTATGACGGAACCTTGTTAATTTTTAAAAATGATTTTCCGAATTGCAGATTCCAGAGGGTATGCTCTCTCTTACGTTCTCGGCACCCCTAAAATATGTCATGACGAAATCGAAGGTTCCAATATAGGCCACCTTGTGGATGATAAAAGAAGACTACTTTTATATGTTGATGTGCATCAAATGAATCGCGCGGGAGCGCAATGGTTAAATTGCCTCGTTTAGAAGTCGGGTGTCGCTCCTCTGAAAAGACGGTTATAAGCCTAGCGGTATCGATTGGTCAGATTGTTTTAACCTGAAACAAAATTCAATAGCTATCATCGGGCTTTCAATTTTGCCATGACTTATTCCATGGGCGCATAGAACATAAGTGAATGTAACCTTTCGGCTTTCGAGGATGAAAATAATCCAGTTTCTAGGTTACTTTTTAAAAAATTTCGTTAGTTCAATGTTTTGCCCTTATTATTAGTTTCCCCGAAATATATGTCACAACATCCTCGATATCCAGGGGTTACGCTCACACTCACTCTCTGCACCCCTGGAATATGTCATAACATAATTGAAGGCACGCGGCTAGCTATTTGATTGGTTTCAGGTAAAAAAAAAAAAAAAAAAAAACCCGCTAGGCTGACATCTGTCCTTTGAAGATTAATAAGGAGCGACACCCGACTTTAAAGCCAGTCAATTTTACCGTTACGCGACTGATAGATTCTTTAAATGTACATTAAAGGACCAAACTAGTCTTCTCGTCTCACCCACAAGATGGCGCACACTGAGCCTTCGATTTTGCTATGACATATTTCAGGGGTACAAAAAGCGAAAGTAAGCGTATCTCCTGGAGCATCGAGGAGGATGTCGCGATTGATTCACTACTTCACAGTCTTTTCATGACTATTCCGTCTTTGCGTATTGCAGAGTTATCTTCTCAGGTATTGATTGTTACGTCATTTGTTTGTGGGAGTAACGTCATCAATATTTGAGAAAACGACGTAATTTTCTCACACAAACCAATGACGTAACAATCAATACCTTTATCAATAGAATATATATGCCATTATCCTTATCACTAAGCGCGTGATATCGACTTTTGCGTGGTTTAATGGCTAATCTATACTTTCTCGGTTAATTGTTACAACTAAATAACTGTTTATGAATATCTTATTTAATTTATAGTGTTTATTATATTTTTAATTGATTTATTGCATATTAACATGCATAAACACTGCACTTAATTCAAATTAGCAGGGAACGAGAAAGGTAAGAACCGCTATTTAACAAAAGTGAATGGGAGTTTTAAAAATTCTCGAGATGTGGAAAAAAAATTCAATCGATCGAATATTTGTTCTGATTTCCCTTGTGCTGACGAAATAGTGATTTTGATAAACATCTGCAATACTTCTGAAATATATTTGAAATCAAACAGACAACCTTTAAATATTTTTGATATTTTTCATACTAACGAAATCATAATTTGGCAAATTAAGAGAATAAAGCGAGTTTAACTTATATAAACAGATATGGACACCCCGATGACAGATCACGTGACAGGAGTGACATACAAGGTTGTCATGCAGAAGTCCAATCAGGATGACGCAGTATTAAGCTGTGCTGCCTTGGGGATGAGATTGTTCGTGATTGACACCGATGCCAAACGGGATCTTCTCATCAGGATAGTGTTTCCAAGCTTGATACTCCGTAAGTTTAAAATCAATTGGTGTTGTTTTTTTTACTTTCGTATGTCATGAGTAAAAACACAAAATGACCATCGTGTAATCATACTTACAATTAAATAGAACGCCGCTAAACACTAGACACTCATGAGTTGTTTCGATTGGTTCTACACTCAGTGCACTTTCTGTATGCACAATCTGCCAAGCTATTCCAGTCTTTTGTCGCACGGATTGTAAAAATATTTTCTCCGTACAGTCCAGCCTGGAAATGCAATTGTACTAGCATGTTTCTGCTCGTCTGTCTTTGATTTGTATGCTACAGTAAAGAATATATGGTAAATCTTGTTGATCATTCGGTGAAATTGTTCATCCGAGAACCATCGGCACTTTCCGTAAACGAGAAAATATGTTTCTCGTTTACATTGTGCATAGAGTACCGACGGTTCCCAAATTGAAAATGTTTTGTGCCATCGCTCTTCCTCTTACTGGGAGCTCTCTGGTTGAGGGTTTGGAGACAAAGTAGGCCTTGTGTTCCAATCATGCACGAGGTTTGTCATACTCCTCCGCTGGTTTTCTTACTCTGTGATGTCCTTCTGCAACATTGTACTCCATACTGTTACCGCATACTCGACTTTAGGCCAGATAAATGATTCTAAAAAATGGCATAATTGCATCTGAACCATAAATGATAATGTTCTTTCGAGCATACTTTCTGAATTTTATCGCCTGCTTAACAGTTTTGAATTTGGCTTACATCAAATATTTAGGCCTAAATTGTAGTAACATGTATTAACATACCCAATGATGAAATCATCCCGAAAATTTCAATAGTTTTTATGTGGTTATTTTACCTTTTCTGAACCCATGTTGTTGTTCCATTATATTTTTCACCTCTAGAAGTTCCATACTTTGTCTTTTATCAATGATTCTACTATTTTATATATATTATACTTCACCATTTTCAACGACCAAACGCTCTGTAGTTCTGGGTTCTATATTTGCCTTACATCTCTTCATGTTTGATGTACTATTTACTTTCTATTCCATTGGTATTTTCCGTTCTCTGCATGGTTGCTGTAGATTAATACTTCCAATGAGTGCCTCAGTTCTTTTCTGATTTCATTTCATCCCGCCTTTGGATGAAGTTTATTAGTTCTGGCGAGTTTATTATATAATTCTAATATTCTCTACATCCTCTTTATGCCTTTTGTGTGTGCATTAAAAAGGTATAATATTTTCGGCGGTAAAAATATTGCTGAAGAAGCTACTTATTAAGCTGTTGCTCCTTTCCTACAACCTCAGTTTCCGATACTACTTCATCCGTGTCTTTGTCCTACTTGTGTTCTTCTCTTTGCTTTAAAGTTAATGCATCTCCAAAAGTCTCTTTGTAGCTGTTCTCAGCATTCATTTTTGCACCTGTTGCTAGATTTCTTGCTGCTTTGCTACATTGCATTTCATTTTGGCTCGATTTATTGTCTACTCGACCATCCAAGATTTCCTTTTCTTTATCGGTAGATACATTTATACTGGTATATTTTCTATTTTGTGTTTCAGCTCTTTAGATTCTAGTCCTAATCTCAGCCGTGTGATATCTGCTCTTCTTCATAGTTCCTTGTGTAGTTTGGTTTGCCGGAGTTGTTGTATCAGAAGAATCCCTTAATACAATATAGGAGCTGATATAGTGGCGCTAGTAATCGCTCTTAAGTGGAATCTGTACTCTATTTAGTCACCTACGGCAACTATATGACTTCCTGGATATCTTCCATATAGCTTTATGTCTAAAATGATTTCTTTACCATGACTATGAAATCAACAAGTTCAAGTTGTAAATGGTACCAGATAATTTCCTTGAACTTCCAGTCATCGAGTAACGCATCCTCGATACTCCACTTACTCGAAAGAAGCTCACGCTAGGGTTAAATTGCCAGACTTTAAAAGACGGGTGTTGCTCCTTTGTAATATTCAAAGGACAGAAATCAGCCTAGCGATTGCTCAGGTGTTTTTTTTACTTGAGACCAATCAAATAGCTAGCAGCGTGCTTTCAATTTTGCCATGACATATTCCAGGGGTGCAGAGAGCGGAAGTGAGCGTAACCCCTTGTGTATCGTGTATGGGAGTAACGGTAGTTTATTTTGACATATAAAACCTCTTCCATCATTGCGTCGTTAGTTTATTTTGACATATAAAACCTCTTCCATCATTGCGTCGTAGTTCTCGTCCACCAATCTGGTGTCATCAATTTAAGGTTGATCGCATTGTATCTCTTTCGTAGACATCACTGGCAAGAGTAGTAAATGCACCCAGTCTTCAAAATCCTTAAGCTCCATTCTCGTTAAACATTTCTTCTCTTGCACAATATATCACATCCTCGATTCTCCATGGGTTACGCTCACTTTCTGCACCCCTGGAATATGTCGTAGTAAAATTGAAGACAAGAATATAGCTATTTGATTGGCCTCAGGTAAAAAAACTGACCAATCGCTAGGCTATTACCTGTCCTATAAAAAGACAGAGGAGCGACACTCGACCACAAAGCCAGTCAATTTTACCGTAATATATGCGATCGCGAGCTTCTTTTGATGTACATCAAAGGATCAAACTAGTCTTCTTGTCTCTTCGACAAGATCTCGAGTGAGTGTTACCCCTGGAGTTACCCTGTTTGATTGGTTTCAGGCGTAAAGAAGGAGCTGCATCCCAGCTCAAATCCTGTGAATTTTACTGTTATGCTGCCGCGCGATTCCTTTGGTCTCCATCAATTTAAGACAACTTGTAGATTATACCACTTTTTGTTTATTCATGTATGTGCACATTGCGATGATTATCTGCTTGCCTAATGTATAAAAGTGATTGTAAGCCTTTTTTTGTTTTACAATTGTGACTAATACTATTATCCAATTGTTGTAAAGCGCTTTAGAGTAATTTTACAAATTATATAAAGGGCGCTATATAAATGTTGCATATTATCATAGCCCTCGCAACGAAGTTAGGGGGGGGGGGTGTGTATACTGGAATCAGCTTGTCTGTCTGTCCATACACAAATTTGTCCGGACAACTCCTTTTCAAGTAATGGACCAACTTCAACGAAACTTTCCACATATAATAACTACCACCTGAAGTTGTGCATCCAGGGATAGTTTTTTCATTCTGTCCCTTTTTCACAGAGTTATGGCCCTTTGTTGAAAAATATTTGTCCGGGTAACTCCTCCAAAACTATGAGGCAAATTTCAACGAAAGTTTTCAGATATGATACTTATCACCTGAAATTGTGCATCCAAGTATCATTCTTTTCGTTCCGACCCTTTTTATGGAGTTTTTTCCCTTTGTTGTAAAATGCTTCCCCACACATCTTCTTCAAAACTACTGCACCAACTTCAATGAAAGTTTTCAGATAAGATAATTACCACCTGATGTTGTGCATCCAGGTATTATATTTTCAATCTGACCATTTGTTTTACAAAGTTATGGCCCTTTGTTGTAAAATACTTCTCCATACAACTCCTCCAACATTATGCTCCCAATTTCAACGGTATATATCAGATATGATAACTACCAACTAAAGTTGTGCATCCAGGTATTTTTTTCCAACCCTTTTTAAGGAGTTGTGGCCCATTGTTGAAAAATCCTTGTCCTGACAACATCTCCTAATCTAATTGGCCAATTTCAAAGAAAGTATACAGATATGGCAACTGCCCCCTGACGTTGTGCATTCAAGTAGTACTTTTTCATTCCGACCCTTTTAAAAGGAGTTATGGCCCTTTGTTGAAAAAACCTGTGCCTACCTCCTAAACTACTGGGCCAATTTCAATGAATGTTTACAGATAAATAACTCCCAGATGTCGTGCATCAGGGTAATATTTTTTCATTTCGACCCTTTTTTAAGGAGTTATGACCCTTTGTTAAAACTCTTTGTCCTGACATCTCTTCCTTTACTACTAGGACGATTTTATCAAAAGTGTTCATCTGGGGTAACAACATTTCGTTTACAAGTATGTTTTGGCATTGAGAGGGAGTACAGGAAGTGTGTGAGTGACATATATACTTAAATAAGTGTACAGCTCAATCAATACAGTTCTGGTTTATATAGCAGTGGGTGGTATTAGTTAGCCTTTGGCTTACAGTTCTAGTCATTATTATTGTTATTATTACAACAAAAAATCTACTTGTATAATCCGCAAGTTGTCGCGTTAAGAGTTTTTAATTTTGCCGTGACATATTCCGAGGTGTAACGGTAGAGCAGACATAGAGATTGTCGCAAATAACAACATATATACTTATTGGTAAGTACATCTTGTCATAAATATCTACATCAAACATATGTGTTATGGACAATTTTGTTTCGTGCCAGGTGGTCAGAAAGTTCGAGTGGGCGGTGGCTTCTCATTCGTAAACGGACTCTGGGGATGGTGGGATGGCAACGGCAAGCTCCTACAAGAGAAGCTGGTTTCTTTCTCAGACCCTGCTGGAAAGCCGTGCGTCATCCTGACTGTCGTTTTACGGTATCTTCATACCTCCGAATGCAGTACACCCATGTACTTTGTATGTGAATCCTAAATCACTCATCTGTGATAAGTTCACCACTTGTATGTATGTGTGGATTTGAAATCCGAAAACAAATACTTTTTAGACTTTATGCTCAACACATCTGAATCGAATTCCAATAAATATCTCGATATCAGAAATCAAATAGTTTGTTTTTATTTCATTTCTTAATACCATAATTATTGTACGGAAATATGATTTCTTATGGTATTTCTAATGAAACCAAGAATTCAATTCAACAACATGATTTTTGATATAAAAACTTTTCGGTGATAAAAAGTAAAACTGTGCCCTATACTGATAAGTGATTAATTAGGACGTATCTGATGAAGATCACATGACCCCGCGATCTCCTTGCCGCAGAACCAGAATAGTTGCCGTCAATTTTTCCAGTAATATTAAGAGAATTTTAAACGGGGCAAACCCGGTTTTGCAGATCAAAATGAGAGAGAAATCTACGCTGGGAAGATTAAAACCTAACCAAACTATACAAAGTAATAGGCCTCAAAACTAGGTCTGTCCGGAACATGACATCCTTCTTGTTTTACTTACCGGGTAAGCTCACCTAACTGTCACACTTAGTATCTCTGGAAGGTGGAGCTGTCGCATACTGCAAAGAGGTCGCAAATTCATGTTATTCTTTATTATGAAAGTTCTTTTAAACAACCAATAGCATTTTCTATGTGACGTTTCGATGACTAGTACGATATGTACACTGTCACCTTCATCATGATAAAAGACCAGAGAAGCGTATGCACACATAGGTGTAAAATGTGTACAAGTTGTCCACAAAATCGAAGTCGATTCGGCTACGCTGTAGGCGTATATACAATATTTGTTCTATATGTACCGAAATGACTCGATTAAACTACGCTTTGTTTAATACTTGGTCATAGATATGCAAGAGTCTTTGAGCCCCTCGTCTCGATTTAAAACTGGCCCAATAAGGCGTATCCAGATGGCTTCCTTTATCTGCCGCTTGAACATACTAATTACCAATCTGAAGAAAATGTTTAGAAATATCTTGCTAATCTTTTTTTTAATTTCGAAAGGTGGAGCACAGCGTGCTGATATTGAACTTGCGCTCTTTTATACACAACCTTTTTTTTTATTACTAGCTTAAGCATGTTCATAGCATAACTTCCTTGTTATCTCAACTAAGTTTACTGGACTATCACATTCAACTATAATATGATGATGAAGTGTCGCATAACTTTCAAACGCTACCAAGATTCAGTTCTAAAATTTATTTTACCGATATACCCATCAGATTTTTGTTTCCTTTTTCTAGAAAGACCGGTAATTCATCAAGTAAAATTTCAGTAATATCATTAATACTTTAAAATATAAAGACTACGAAAATGTTAGTTTAAACAATAGTTATGATAAGTCCATGATAACTCAATAGCCCGAAAACTAGAAATTTTGGAAGCGTTATATAAATATGAGCACATGATTATTTTTCACTTGTAAATGATTTTCCTCTTTGCCAATTGAATAAGAAATGAGTTCTCAAACAGACATTAAAAAGGGTAAGAAAAACTTATAATATATGTTTTCTATCAAATGGTGAACTAAGACTACGGGTACGATACCGTATATCCTCGATACACCAGGGGTTACGATCGCTCCTCAGTTATCTTCAAAAGACAGACATCAGTCTAAGCGATTGGTCAGGTGTTTTGTTACCGGAGACCAAGCTAAAAGCTAGCCGCGTGCCTTCAAATCTGCTATGGCATATTACAGGGGGGGTGAAAGCTTTACACCTGGAGCATCCATGATGAGGAACCCTGGAATATGTCATGAAAAAATTGAAGGCATGCTGTTAGCTATTTAATTGGTTTCAGATTAAAACCAACATGACCAATTGCTAAGCTGCTTTCTATCCTTTGAAGATTACAGAGAAGCCATACCAGAGTTCAAAGACAGTCAATTTTACCGTTATGCGACCGCGAGATTCTTTCTATGTTCATCAGTGGATCTAGTCTACTTGTCTCGTCCACAACGTAGCGCACACCAAACCTTCGTTTTTGACACGACATATTCCTGGGGTGCAGAGATCGAAATTGAGCGCTATAACCTTGGAGTATCCAGAATGACTTCCAAAGAGACCAGTAATTGTTAAAGTAAAATTTCAGTAATATCATTTATATCATAAAATACAAAGGGTTAAAAAGAAATGACTGTAAAAAATAATTTAAAGTCCATGATAACTCTATGACATGGAAGCGGGAACTATAAGGATCGCTTTATTAACATGAACACTACATTATTTTTCATCAGGAAATGATATTCCCGCTTTGCCAATAGAACTAGAACACTGACAGGGCAGTAGGGACCCCGTCTTGTAGCAATATATCCCCCATTATCATCAAGAAGCAATCTGCCCATATAGCTGAGCTTGACGTTTTACATTTGGACTTCAAAAAGAATCGCAAGGAAGCAAAATATACATTTTACATGTACTTTGAAGTGAATATTATTTCCTTCCACCTCCATATTTGCTGGGCTAACAGAAATGTAAATACCGGTGCAATACTCATTTGTTAGCTTTAATTTGTTTATTTCACCTTAAATACCTCCTCCATCAAGAGCCAGGGTCAAAGTCAGAGATCCACTTTGTCTTTGACCTTTGGACCCAAACAACCTTGACCTTTAACCCAGTGACCCTGAACTTTGGTCAGTTGACTTATTCTTTAATTCTGACCAACTTTGCTTCATAATATCATAACAAAATGTTCATCAGTGAAAAATCCAAAACTTGACCTTGACCTTGAACCTTTGAACCCGTAACCTGGACCTTAGGTCAGGTGACTCCGTGTTAAGTTTTTAACAACTTTGCTTCATAATAACATAAAAAAATGTTCATCAGTATAAAGATACAATATTTGACTTTGACATTGACTCAGTGACCTTGACCTAGTCAGTTGACTCCTTGTTAAATTTCGACCAACTTTGCTTCATAATGTCATAACAAAATGTTCATCAGTGAAAAGATACAAAATTTGACCTTGACCTTTGACCCAGTGACCTTGTCCTTGTTTAATTCTGACCAATATTGCTTCATAATGTAATAGCAAAATGTTCATCAGGGAAAAGATACAAAATGTAACCTTCATCTTTGACCCAGTGACCTTGACCTTTGTTCGATTGACTACTTGTTTAATTCTGAGCAACATTGCTTCAAAGTGTCATAACGAAATGTTCACCAGTGAAAAGATACAAAATTTAACCTTGACCTTTGACCCAATGACCTTGACCTTGGGTCAGTTGAATCCTTGTTTAATTCTGAACAATATTGCTTCATAGTGTCATAACGAAATGTTCATCAGTGGAAAGATACAAAATTTGACATTGACCTTTGACCCAGTGATCTTGACCTTTGATCAGTTGACTCTTTGTTTAAATCCGACCAACTTTGTTTCATAATGTTATAAAATGCTCATTAGTGAAAACCTAGAAAATTTGACCTTGACCTTTCAACCTAATGACCTTTGACCTCGACTTTTTACCTCAGTGTCTCTTTGTTTAATTCCGACCAACTTCTGACTTCATAATGTCATAAAATGCTCATTGGTGAAAAGCTACAAAATTTGACCTTGACCTTTGACCTTGACCTCTGACCCAAAGATCTAGACCTTTGGTCAGTTGAATTCTTGTTTAATTCTGATCAACTTTGCTTCATCATGTCATAACAAAATGTTCATTAGTTAAAAGATGCAAAATTTGACCTGGACCTTTGAACCTAATGACTTTGACCTTGAGTTTCTACCTCAGTGTGTATTTTTGTGAACTGAACATCTTGACCAAGTGAATCTCTCAATAAATACCGAAGTTATCAGCCAGAAACAAAATTTGTGGACGGACAGACAGACAGTGATTACTATAGGGCACCCGTATCTCCGATACACGGCCCTAATGAACACAGCAGTCGTATTAAACATGTCTGCAATCGGCTAGCTGCCGTAACTGGTACACTGGAATTTCCTTCTTGTATACCAGGCAAGTTTAATTACAATCTGATGTTCCCATCAACATACAATTTGCAAAGTAATATGTTTTAGATATTTCTATATTTAGACTGAATGAACTACAGATTTGGTCACTTGACACCTTGTTTGATTCTGACCAACTTTGCTTTATGATGTCATAACAAAATGTTAACCAGTCGAGGGATGTAAAATTTGACCATGAAATTTGACCCAATAACCTTAATCTTTGATCCATTGAAACCTTGTTTGATTCTGACCAAGTTTGCTTCATAATGTCATAACAAAATGTTAACCAGTTACGAGATGTAAATCTGACCTCGAACTTTGACCCAATGACCTTCAGCTTTGGTCAGTTGATACCTTGTTTGATTGTGACCAACTTTGCTTCATAATGTCAAAACAAAATGTTAAGCAGTTAAAAGATACAAAATCAGACCTTGACCTTTGATCTGATGACCTCCACCTTCGACCAATTTAGTGCAAACATATTTGAATTTTTTAATGTTAAAATCCAAGATGGCTGATTAGCAGCCATTTTGAATCCGATTTGCCTAAAAAATTACCAAGCAGAACTAGGATGCAAACTAAATATGTCATAGCAAAGCCGAAGCTTGCTCAGTGTGCACTACCTTGTGGATGAGACGAGAAGACTAGTGTACACCAAAACAATCGCTGTCGGGTAACAGTAAAATTGACCGGTTCATTTCATTGAATTTTCAAACACTGAGTAACTAATTTTCGGTACTCCACTTACTCAAAAAGAGTCTCACAAATTGACAGAAGTTTAAGTCGGGTGTCGCTCCTCTCTAATCTTCAAAGGAAGGTATCAGCCTAGCGATTGGTCAGGTTTCTTTACCCGATACCAATCAAATAGCTAGCAGCATGCCTTTAATTACACTATGGCATATTCCATGGGTGCAGAGAAGGAAAGTGGACATAACCCATTGAGTATCGAGGATGAAACATGAGCAAATACTTAGTGCATGTCACCGTATGTTAGCGTAGGAACCCATCATCACGTTGTCCCATTTCTCTTGGTATTAGTTGCGTACTGTTCTCATCTCGAAATTATACGTCGCGTTTCATTTACGATTTTACATTGAATGTGACTGCCTA